TTCTTTATCTTTGGATCCACGAATCTTTATCCTTTCCGACATGCATCATAATCAACAAAGACATATTTCTTTGTTTTCGAGTTAAATTTGGTTTGATTAGTTTTAGGAACATAAACATAGCATGTAGAGCCAAACGTTCGAAAATAATTGACATTTGGGTTTACATTATATAAGATCTTAAAAGGAGTCGTTTCTTTACCTAGTTATAAACATAGTCGATTTATCATGTGGCATGCATATTGAGTTATTTCCGCTCAAAGCTTTTGAGTAAGGTTTTTATCATATAGCCATGAAAGACTTGTTGAAGTGAGATGTGCTAGCTTTCTTTTTGAAACCCTATTTTACTAAGGAGTAGTAGGACACGTCATTCATTCGTTGAATACCATTATTGTCATAATATTGAAAGGATTCATCTAACATAAATTCTTTCTCGTTGTCACTTCTCAAGCTCTTAACTTCTACCTAAACTTATTCTTTACAACATTGTTAAATTCAATGAACTTAGAGAGTGCTTTATTCTTCTCCTTCTAAAAATACATCCAAATGTACCTTGAAAAGTCATTAAAAATATCATGACATACCGAGTAGCTATAATAGCTTAGTGTTCTTATTGGTCTCATCAAATCTAAATAAACTAATTCAAAATAAATCATTTTGTGGTTTAATGAGCTTTTGAAAGAAAGGCGATGTGATTTTCTATATTAGTAGCCTTGACAAATCACATTTTTTGTGTATATTTTTAAGAGTTGGTAAAGTTCGTCTAACAACTTTTTTGAAGAGATTTTTTGTAGCATTTGATAGCCTAAATACCCCGATTGAGCATGCCAAATAGTTGCATAGTCAATTTGACTTGTCTTTTTCATAAATGCCTTCCCTACTCGACATGATAAATAAAGAGCCTTTTTTCTCACTAGTAAGGACAATATCAACAATAGCATTTCTCACATTATCAAGCACCTTCACATTATTTGGTCCAAACAAAACATATTTTCCAAGTGTTAGTAATCTAAGAAACAAAAACTAAATTTTTCTTTAAACTCGAACATGATAGATATCATATAATTTAACATTTGTATCATTAACATCAATCTTCACGACACCTTTTTTTGCTATTAGATGAGTTGAGTTATCGGTTGTAACAGCTTACTCTTTCTTTATTATGTTGTCATAGCTATGAAAATAATGAATCATTTCTAATCGAGTGACGTGAATAGCCAAAATGAATGATCCATTCCTCCTTTTAGTCGAGTATAGTTAGCCAGTGCTTGGTTTGTTCCTTTAATTTCTTCAGTAGTAAAACATTATTCCCAATTGAGTTCATCTTCTTCTTCATTTTCGAAGCAAGATTTGATTTTGAAAAGCTTTACATAATAATTTTTCTTGATATATCTAACCTTTACGCATCTATAGCATTTGAAATATTTGTTACCTTGTGGATCTGCTCGTTGGACTTTCCACCATTTGTGTCTTCTTCGAATTTTTCTCGTTAACCTTTTATCTTGAGAAGAGAATAACATCATGTTTATAATTGAAATTCTTGGCCATTTGTTTAGCCAAAGCCTCCCGATTAGAGGGAAAATTCTTTAATTCTTCTACCGATAGCTGATTTACCCATCCTTAAATGGAGGTAACATAGGGTGAATATTCTTTCTTCAAACCATAAATAAGAAATCATCATAGATGAGCTTCATTAACCTTCTCACCCACATCTATCTCTAAAAGCACAAATATTTTTTACTCGTAAAAAATATTTTGAAATTGACATACCTCTTTGTGTCATCATTGCCAATTCATTTTACAAGAATTATAACCTTGTTGTATTCTTCTTAGAAAATAACCTCTCAAGCAGTCTCCCAAACTTCCTTTGGAGAACTAACATCACGAATATGATCAATAAAATCCTTGCTAATTGATGTTCTCAAAGAAAAAAAGCTTTTCCTCATTTAATCTTCCATTTCTTTCTTGGCTTAGCATCGTCCGGAATGTCAATTGGAATCTCCGTATCAACATCAACAATTAGTTCTCAAAGGTCTTAACCGTGAAGAAAAGCCTCAATACAAATTCTCCAATACTTGTAGTTTGTTCTTACAAGATTATCTACACCATATGGCGTGTTAGAATCATTTCCTTCATTAACCTTCATATTGGAGGACATAAATTTCTTCAAGTTTCGGTCTTCTCCAACAAGAAGAGTGAAATAAACACAAAACTCAATTAGACTCGATACCATAAAACAAAAGAATTCCTAGGAGATTGTTAAAAGAGAAAAGTAATATTTGGAGAATTACGGAATATTTTATTGAAGTATATAAAAGATTACATCGATTCATCGAATTTATAGCTCAAGTCATAACAAATCCTCCTATAAAACTTGCATAAAATCCTACCAAAACATCTTATTAGAACATAACAAAATGCTCTTTTATTGACATTTCACTACTGACTTAGTCTACTCTAAAATAACAGGAATAGGAAGCTGACTTAGTATACAACAAACTTATATAGTAAGGTGCACTAATTTGTAAGACTTTTTTCCTTATCCTTCACATTCATCAATTCCTCTCCTATTTCATTCCAGCTTTACAGCTTCATGAAAAGGTAATTAAGCAACTAGTTCTATATATATAATCTTGTGTTGTGCAATTCATTAACTAATTAATCTAACATCGTTCTCCATTTCTATCATAAATGAAAAGAGGGTAGAATAGTTTTCTTTTTCATTCATTTGAGCATGTAAGCATGAGTTAGCTAGCTTTTGATTAACTTTTGAGAACTTACTAAAAAAATTGATTTGAGGTGACAGATATATAGTGATCATGTTTTATGCAGTGCCATTAGTAACAAAAAAGCCAACATCGAAAACAGGTAATCAAGGCAATCCGATATTGATTTGGAACATTGAATGGATAGAGAGAAAAACAACCTAACTTATGTAGCAATAGGTACATTTATATTGTCATCCATGGTGGTCGAGGGTGCATCTCGGCCTCCTGATGATCAATGCTTTCCAGATGAAGACTCCAGATTGTATTATGTACATAGTAATACCATCTCTTTTTTCGCATCGCTCCACATGTTCATGTTTCTATTGGTTGGCGTGTTATGTAAGAGCAAAATGTTTTTACGGTTAGGAATGACTTTCTTTTTTATTGTAACAGTAGCAAATGCAATGACTTACAAACAAGTTGTATCCTATTTAGCCAAAGGTTATGTTACTGTACAAATTATCTGGAAAAGAAATGGTGTTAGATGCGTGTGTATGTGTTTTTTCCTATATTGAGTCAATCCAATTAATAACTATATGACAAGGGAATGATGTTAGATGTGTGTGTGTGTTTTTTTTTCCTGTATTGAGTCAATCTAATTAATAAGCACTTGTTTTAACTTCTTCTTTTTTTAATTATATGTTTCAATATCATATATTTGTTCAATTTTATCGAGTTCAAATTAGAATTAAAATTTGTATTTATTATTTGATCACACTACTTGTACATTGAATAAAGAATTAATTTTGAATAGCCAATGCCTATTTTCCAATGTAGTTGCTCAATTTTTATTGAATTCTTGTTGTATTGAATATACTAATTAAAAGTCTTATACTGAAGGTCATCCTTAATAAAATCTATGGATGTCAATCCATATGAGGCTTGAATAAACGGAAGCAAATAGTCGACTTCTCAATCAACTTGTTTCTTCTTTTCTTAGAATTTATATTATTGTGAAATATCCACAATGCTTGTTCCATCATTCTTTTAAAATATTGCTAACTCTAATTCTTTTTGTTGCCTTTTCTTTTATTTACAAATATTTATTTTGATATAGAATAATCGTGGCTAGAAATTAAATTATTTTTATCCCACATTAAAAATAAGAAACGACGAGAAAATTAGACTATTCTTATCTCATATTGAAGATAAGACTAATCATATTCGGAGTAAAAATGATGAGATTTAACTTTTTCTAATAAGTATAATTTTAAAATTCAAATCCTATATGTTGATAAAAAATTTGTTTGAAGATCAGCTCACTTATCAATAGATTAATAACTTGCTGATACATTTATGTTTTCTTTATAACTAATGTTTGTTACCATTTTTTGCTACGCATGATTTCTTTTCTTTTTCTTTTCGTTCAGTAGAGTTACCAAAATGAAAAGGGAAGATGGTTCCTAGATTCTCCTGGAAAATTTGAATTCCTTTCCCTAATTACAGTATGGAATTGTACCCGATTCTCTCCGCACGTAATAAAGCAGCCTGTTAAAGTCTAAGGTTGAATTGCATGATGTTTCCCATATTTGTTTATTTAGTGACCCTATGAACGTGGTTGAACATTTTGGGTCTTGGACATTTTCCCATTTTGAACAACAAGCATTCATTTGAAGCCCAAAAGGCTAAAGAAAAACAAGAATGCGTCTCAAGCTCATTGCATCTGGAGTCATTAGTTCCAAATTAATGAGAAGAAAAACTCTCTAATAGCCTAAATTAGCGTATTATCTTGACGGAACTAGCGAGGTAAAGAAAATGAGTCGTGTTATTATAATTGACTGAATTGAACATTATCATAAAAATAAAAAGCTTCTTTGATTTTTTTTTTTTGTAATGAAGTTTTTTTAATGAAAAATTTAAATACTTTAAGAGAATATTTGAATTTGTAACTTCTTGTAAATGCAAAGAGTTCATTACCACTACTCATAGCCAAAATTTTATTGCTTGATTTTGGCATTTATTATTATTGTAATCTTCATTTTGATGTAATAATTAGAGTAAAATAAGAATACTTGGGGCATTAGCAAATGTATTTGATGTACTCTCCTTCAGATAAAAAAAAAAAATGGAGTTAATTTCTTATACTATATTGCCATCAAACAAGTTAAATGTAGCTACAGTGCCATTATTGATCATAATAACATTAATCTATGATTGTTTTTACAAATGGAATGATCTTCTCTTAATCTAGGATGCAGATAAACCCTAGCTAGCTAATTAATGGCGATGAAGAGTTTAGCCAACACAAATACCAAGACCATCTTCAGCCATATCATCCTCCCCAACATAAGCTGCCAAATTCAGATACTTTTCTTCATCGTTTCTATCTCTCCACCTTGCTCGACAAATCACACAACTAGCTGCCCTCCTTCCCCTGCTCCTTTTCCACCTCGTCAAGCATTCTTCATGAATAGCATTCCTGCATGTTCTACAAGCCACCACCTTCTCTCCCTTCTCCATCTCATCAAGACAAACCGGGCACCTTGTCCCATCTTCAATCTCAACACGAGGTCTCAAAGCACCATGCCTTGTCTGAAAGAACAACTGATGAAATCTCTCACGGACGCTAACCCCTGCCAATGCCTCTGGCAAGGTAGAAGTTCCAAGCAGGTGATTAAGCTGGCAAGGCCTAAGTCTCTTCCTTCGGAGACATGCATCATCAAGAGAGACACCCAATACACGAATCAAAACAAACAATATATGCTTGCATGGTGTTGTACGATCAGGACATGAGCACGTAGGAATAGCATTTAAGGTCACAGTATAAACATTCCCTGTGGCACCTAAGATAAAAAAGTTGGCCTCTGAGCGATGGAGAAGGCGAAGGCGGTGGCGGATTGCTCGAAAAATGCGGTCTGCCACGGGTTGGCTTGGCTTAAACCGTAGATGAAGACGGTGGTGGCGGTGGTGGTGGTGGTGGGAGTCAGGTGAGGATGTAGGTGAATTGTTGGAGCCAACGGATTCCATAAGAAAAAAGGAAAGGAAAGATGTTGCAGCTGGAAAAGTGTGAAGTGTACGGAAATGGGTGAAGGTGTTACTATTTGTCATGGGAAGGTTTTGTAAAGGAATTCGATATAATGTGGCAAAGATTCTTTGTCTAGTTTTGGAGTGCAAGTGAGGGATAGCGGGAGCCTAGGAAAATAGTGAAAGGAAAGGAATTCCAAACTTTGACTTCCGATTATCATGTTGCTCCATTTAACTCTCTCTCTCAAGCCACGTTACATATACATACATGCATACTATATATATATATATATATATATATATATATATATATATAAGGTTTGGATATTTTCTAATAAAAATTTAGATGATAAACAAACTCAATTTTCATTCAAATTAGATAAAGTATGTCATATAAGTTCTTAAATATATCAAATTGATGTAAGAAATGATTTTTTAAAATCATTTTGAGAAAAAATTTAGTATTAATTGACATCCAAACGAATTAAAAATTCTTCTTAGTTAAGTGATTAACTAATTTATGGCCCATATTATGCTGCGGATAGGACAAAATTAAATTATTTTAATTTGATATTTTATGTTATATTACAGATTTTCTAAAATATACGGAATCAAAAATTAAAAAAAATAATCTTGTATTTAATTGATTATTCCTTTTTTTCCTCATAAATTTCAATTGAACAAAAAAAAAACATAATTTGTTATTTTATATGTATTGATTTTTAAACAAAAACCTATGACAATCTAAATAGAAAATTGAATCCAGAATTTTTAAAAGAACATGAATATTTTTTTATAAGGTTGTATCAAAAAATCAAGCTACACTTCATATAAAAACTTGTTTAAAAATTAACAAATATTTTTTTCTTTTTATTTAATGCTAATGAGAAGATTATTTTTTGAAAGCATAAAACGTCCAATATATAAATTATATTAATATATTTAAAAAAACCATATTCTTAAATTTTATTCAAAAATTTGTACATAAAAAAAATCATATTTTCTTAACAAATAAAATTATATAAAAAATTAATTTGATGCTTCTATAAAAAATACAAAGAAGCAAAAAAAAAATTACAAATCAAAGAAATCATATTTCTTCATCATAGGCTGTATAAAAAATTATTTTCTTATAAATTTTGCACAAAATCAATAATAAAAATAATTGTTGAAAAAAATACAGAGGTGAAAACCAAAGCCAGACCCCAAATCTTTTAGTGTTTTACTTGATTTGATTTGTCAACTTTTTGCATGACAAAAATGAGGCAAGAGGAATTTGGCTCTTGTCCAAACGCAGCGTTTCAATGCCTGGGCCTTACAAGAATGCAACTCATTAAAACGACGTTGTTTAGTCTTATATCCGCTTCATTTTAGGTCTGCTTTATCTTCGTCATCCACTTCTGTATTCTTCTCTGCACTCAATCTCTAACGAGGAGAGTAGACGAACTATGTGGGGTGTGTCTAAAAATCAATCTCAGCTTTCAAACAAGGTACCTGAAAGAGCTTTACCCTTCCTAGTTTTCTTCCTTTGTATGTCTGCTTTTTGCAAAATTCATGCTGGTTTAGTTTCAAATGCTTGAAAAGTTCATGTCTTTATGTTCTGAAATTGTTTTCTTTTTAAGCTGAATTGTACTTTTAGCTTTATCATTTGCTGTAAATTCTTTTTGTATAGAGCTAATACTCGTTTGTCTCAAGTGGGTGCCTTTTGGTTTCTTTGAATCAATAGTTTATCCAAATTAAGCTAAATGATGGTACTAGGCTCAGTTTAAGTGGATACTATGATTTACGAGCTATGAACTAAATTCAATGGGGTATGATAAGAATGTTTATCTTTCATCCTTTTTTTGGTTTTAATGTTTATTGTTCATCCTTTTTTGGTTTTCTTAATTGAATTTGCTGGATGTATATAATCAGAAGCAGGAAAAAGGAGGAGGTTTAGCAGAGAGTTTTAGGCTGGAAAACTTCATTCCGGGCCTTATCATTGGTTTCATTTTTGGCTTGTTTTTGGATTTGTCTAGTCCTTCAAAAAAACAAACCAAGAAGAAGAATTTTTTGCCGGGAAAGTCCCAGCTGGAAAGTCTGGAAGATGGTGACAAAGAGCTTAAAATGGTTTGTTTTTAAGTATCTATTCCTTTCTTCAATGGTTTTATTAGCTTATTTAAATAATTAATGGATGCATTCTACTGCTACAGATGGGTGTTTTGGTTTGTAGTCAATGCCAATGAAGGCTTTTAGGTGGTTCTGGTTTGATTTCTTCAACTTATATGGGAAATTTAGCTAGTTTTGGTTGAATCTGTTTGCTATTGTTATATGATTGTGGTTTTAAAAATAATGCTGGCAGCAATTGTCATCAATGTTACTGTACCTATGAACCTTCAAGTTGTGGAGTCAAAAGCCATTCAATTTTATTCTGTTCAATTAAGCTCTTTGCAAATTGTTTTAGTATTGTTTCTTCCTGCCAATTAATTTGGTCACTTTGAAGCCGTGGTCATTTGGGATATAAAAACTGATAGTGTTAAAAACAGACTATTTTATGTAGATAGCCTGAATCAGTTAAAAATAGATGTAGATTGTTGTGATCCATAGCTTCAAGTCTCCAAAATGTCAAGCTGATGAACCGGATGCTTGTCGCTTCTGCCTGCCATAATGGTGTCCACTATCCAGTATCTTGCATTAGTTTTTATACAATTGGCTCAATAACTGCATGTAGTGGGAAGATGCAATTAATCATATAACTAGTTATGGTTTATATATTCATTAATTTATTTTTTTGTTTGTTCTGGAGGTCCAATAGTTATTTGATGAGCTGTGGGATCGCTAATGGCAGGTTTTCGTAGTCAGACAAGACCTGAAGATGGGTGCAGGAAAAATTGCCTCTCAGTGTGCACGTAAGATACTTGAACTTCAATTAAGATTCAGTTTATGCAGTTTTGACTTATAATGCTTCAGAATTTCCCTTGCTCTTTTCCTGCCTTTTGCTTTATCATTATCTGATTAAATTGATTTTTGTACCTGCAGATGCAGCCACTGGCATGTATGCAGAGCTGATTGATAGGTAGGCAGTTTTGAGGATGAGGATCTGTGTAACTCTATTAACTTGAGAGTGTTTTCATTTGCTCTTCACCAAAAAAATAAAAAATGATGGCTTGAATGAACTATTTAAAGGACTTAAAGAGCTTCTATTAAAATAGATAATTAATAAGGCTTCATGCCCTTTCAATCCCATAGTTCAACAAGTTAGGAGTCTATATTATCATGAAAATAACTGCTCTCTAATCAACTCTGGTTAATGTATCCCCCACCATGTTTTTTTATTAACTATCCATTATTATTGAAGTCACACTGTATCTGTATGCTTTGCAGCCACCGGATTCTCTTGAGACAATGGGAGCAATCTGGACAGCCCAAAATAGTTGTTACGTGCAAGAATCAACAAGAAATGTAAGCAGGTGATTTTATTTGAATAATGCAGTTGTTTCGGAGTTGCCACACATTCATTTATTATGCTACAAAGCTCCTCGTTGTCTGACTCATGGGGCACAATTTCACTCGTCATCAGGAATAAGATAAGAGAAGCAGCTGAGGACATTGGTCTTCCAACTTTTATTGTTGCTGATGCTGGAAGAACACAGGTAAACTTATGCATGACACAGTTTGTAATTTAAAAATTCATCTCAAAGTAGCTTGGATACAAATAATAATAATAATAATAACGAGGAAGCAGCAAATGAAACTTAGAATCAAGAGTATGATCCTCGCAGTCTAAGGAAATTATAACCTTTACTTATCAACCTTTGAAGAAATAAACTTGAATTTATGCAATTAAAGAATGGGTAAATGGTCCAAACCTCCCCTAAACTTTAAGTCATTTGAGAATCAGTCCCTTTATTTCTAATTTTGGGTTGGACCTCCATCCAACTATTTTTCATTTCAAATTGGGTCCTTCTGTTAGGTTTTCATTAATTCTAACAGTAGAAGTACACATGACTTGCTCATAGTTGACGTTTTAACTTCCTCAATAGCTAGAAAATGTGTCAAAACTTATATATGTTTTGCTTTGCCCTCCAAAACTTGTTTCTTTCTTTCTAAGATTTTCTTCAATTGCTTACTTCTTAGCATTTAGGAGGAAAAAAGCAAGTTTTGGAGGAAATCGCAAAGCATCTATAAGTTTTGGCATGTTTTTAGTTGTTGAGGAATTGCGCTTACACGTTAGAGTTGATGTAAACCTAATAGAAGGACCCAATTTCGCTTAAAAGATAGTTGGAGGGAGGTCCAATTCGAAAATGGAAGTTGACGGACTGACTCTTAAATGACTTAAAATTCAGGGGAGATTTGGACTGTTCGGCCTTAAAGAATATGATCTTGTAGCGACATGATTGTTTGACATAATTTGAGAACAAAGAGTGTGGTTTCTAATGGTAAACTTGGAAATTTGTTTCAAATTAAGTGCATACTGGTTGTCTCTTTAATATTTGGCAAACAAAATTAAGTTTGCTATTCGATTTCGATGAAGTTGCATGGTTTAACTTCTAAGTTCCTTTGTTTTGCACAGGTTTCAGCTGGGTCGAAGACTGTTCTTGCCGTTGGACCTGGTATGCTTTTCTTTTTGCTGCTGAACTTGTTCAGTTGCTTTCCTTTCTATTACTTATGATAGATTCACTACCTGCATTCTCGACTAATTAAGAGATTCAAATTCCAAAATGTCTTATATAAGATTCTGAAACGAGTTGTTTTCTCTCACTTTTTATCCTAGATTGACCGCCTATATACTCAATCGATTGACAGAGAGGATTTCCAAAATGTCACATAGAAGATTGTAAAACAGGACCTTGATCAAGAACTCTATCTGAGTTGTTGCTCAATGATTTGACTTTTTGCATCATACTTCTATGAACATCCACCAATATATAGAAAGAAGAAACATTCAAGTCACAAAATTCCGGCCCTACTTAGCTGTGGGGCAAAGCTGATCACACACAACAAAATGACAGTAATATGTTTTTGTTCCTGAGCAGGACCAAAAGAATGGGTCGATTCAGTTACAGGAAAACTGCGGCTTCTCTGATGTTGTGGAAATAAAAGATTGCCTCTCTGGTCAAATCCTCAATGTTAATGGACTCATTTTCTTTGCAACTAATTCTCTCATTCATATTCTCGAAGGAGAGACACTTTTCCTCCGTGGTTGCCTGTGGAAATGTTCAAGGTGGAATAGACCGTACTGCAAGCAGTTGCCAAATGAGATGTCTTTTTCCAGCCTTTTTTCCAGCTGGATGAAAATTGCTTACACTTGAATATATTGCTCCAGAAGTAGGTGGTTTCTAGATCGACCAATCGTTTGCTAGGAGAAATTGGGGAATGGAAAGCTGTTCTGTTGCTTTCTCTTCCTTGCTTAATTTGTATGTATCAAATGCTAGACGTAAACTTCATGGCTAACTCGTTATTCTTAATCATTGCAACTAATAACACTATTTTTCTCAACTATTATCTTGGAACTCTGATTTCTGACGCTACTTGTTTTGTTTTCGATTCCCAACCATGTTGAATGTGAGAAACTGAATCTTATTATATGCATGAATATTAAACGATCAACTTTCTACCTCTGGGGAGATGATAGCAGAGCAATTGCTGACACTAAGCTGTATATCCATATAGGAGAGTGTATAGTTGTTACGGCAATGGTTCTGCCACCAACAACGGTGGCTCCGCCCACTTGGTGTTGTTATACAAATTAGGTAAAATGGCTGCAGTCCATTAAGCTCCAAGTAATTTGCACGTTCGCTAGCTACCTAGAGCTTAGAAACATCAAACATAAAGAAAAGAAGGGCGAGGACAGCAAGTGCACAGATTATTATTATTATTATTTTCAAGAAACATTTATATGGTTAGCTTGTGCGCATGACTGGTGCATTTAGATAAGAATATTTTTCTAAATATTAGTTCCAAGTTTCAAAATTCGAAACTTCAAGAAATGAAATCAATTTTTTTTTTTTTTAATCATTTTTCAGGCCATGTCCCATTCTGTGGTTACCTGCACCAATAATGATCTAGTGCTTGTTGCCGAATTCAAAAGGATACTGTTTTTGTTTTCTATTTTTAAATTTGACAATAAAAGGCATTTTCATATTACTCTACAATCACAATGTTTTTTTTCCCCCTAATAAATGCATTAATTTAGATATATGGATGAATTGTGGCAAAAAAAATTTAAATAATAATAAAAAAAGATCACGTTTTTCCGTGGGAAAATCACAATATTTATTGGTGAATGCTAAATATGTGAAACGACATGGTTCTGTGTAAAACCCCACCAAAACCCCCCAAACACTGAAATCCCTAATGTAACTGGATTTCCAAAAACCCTAAACCCAGTGACTTAACATTTCATATCTCTTGCCTTCTAAAAAATGGCGTCTCGCTGCAGGTCTCTCTCTAAACCAACATTCTCTCTTCTCAAATTCACCACAAACAAACCCACCCTTAAGCCCAAATCCACGCCTTCTCTCCTCCCTACCCGCCCTTCTCTCACATTTTCAAGGTATGCAATCCTTTTAAAACTTCTTTTCAATTGCGTACGAGCAGTACAGATTTTGACTTTTGGGTCTTGCAATTTAGATATTTTTCTCAAATGTGTTTTCTTTAAATTAGTAAAATTTTAAATTTTGACTATTGGGTATTGCAATTTATGTTATTTTCTGAAATGGGTTCTTTTAAAATTAGAAAAATTCTTGATTTTTGACAATTGGGTTTTGAATTTCAGGCCAGTTCCTCAATTGGGTTCTGTTCAATCTCTGCTTCCACTTCACTCAGCTGTCTCTTCGGCTAGGCTCACCTCATGCCTCAGCATTGATTCAAGGAGCTCGCGGTCGTTGTCTCAGGGTATGCTCTGCAGTGCGAACCCTGGAGTTTGATATGCTTCAAATGTTTTAGTTTTAGTTTCTGTAAGCAACTTTTTTACTCTACAATTAATTCATATCTGTATTTTGAATAGGGCTGCATAGTTTGTTTGGTTGTTTGTTTTATCTTATTTTCATTTTTTTAAAAATGTTATTTGGCTTCTAGATTTTGTTGTTAACCATACTATTCCAAAGTGAAGAACTCAATAGATGCTATTTCTCTAATGTGTCAACTAGTGACTCTGTACAATTGGTTGTTTGTAGCTCATCAACCTGGTACATTTTGTGGATTTCAGTTTATTTTTGTGAATTGAGGTTTCAAATTTCATGCAGTAAATGTTACCTCTGGCTGATCTCATGAACATTTTAAGATCAAATTTGTTTTGTCATGGAAAACAAATTTTGAAATGTATGCGGTAATTCTATGGGATACATTTTGTAGTATCTTTTTTCCTTGTCCTTGTAGCTCGCTTTTCTTTGTTTGTTGTATATGTGAAATCATATATATTCCTTGCACAGTATAAAATTTTTATGCTTGTGTTGTTGTGGTGTTAAAGGTTTTCATTAGGCAATATAAACAAGTTCACCAACAGTACGAGGCATGTGCTGTAGGATAAGGTTGTCTCTTTGGCCCTTACTTTGGAGCAAAGCAGCACTACTGTTGTTGGTGTTGAATAAGATTGCAATTCCCTTTTCTACATTTTCTATCCTCTTGAGGACAATGTCTTGTACCCTCCTTATTGTATCTATTATCCATACCCTTGAATTATATTTCTTCTTTTATCTCCTAAAAGAACTCCCTAAGGGTCTAGCCTGAAAGCATGCTATAGTGGACCTTTTTTTTTTTTTTTTTGCTGCCTGATTAAAATTGTGACTGTAACTTTTACAAAGATATTAAATATTTCTTGGTGAAACTTGAGCCATTTAGGTTGTGAAGGCCAAAAAGAGTTGACAGATTATGCTTCTTTTCTGAGATAATTCCCCGTCATTTTTTTCTCTCAACAATTGTAGATTGGACTAATATTTTGTGTTAGTGTGTTGGAATTTTGGTTTCCTTAGAAACTTTGAAATGATCGTGAGCCTCCAGGATTAGTGGCAGTGGCACAAAGAACCAATAACTTTATATTAGGGTCAAAACAAACCTTAGGTGTTGTACCTAGATTTCAAGTTATAAGTGTTCTGAGATTGTGTTACTAGTCACTGTAAGAAGCTTTACGTTTCTGTAAAATAGAAATATTGACATTTTGTTTTTACTTTGGAGAATCCAGCATACTGAAGTTGTATCTAGCTCTCTCTTCAGTATTCTATTTCAAGTAGTTTGATGAAGGTTTAAATTTTAAGTCTTTTTACTTAAAATAATCAGCACCACTACTAACCCTTGAGGTTGTTATTACACTTGAAATTCAAAATTTCCAACCCATGTGCATTCTTAGCTCAAGTGGATTTGTTCAACCGTTCAGTACATGAGTCTCTCTAGTGGTTAGCTATTTCATTTAGCTCATTGTTAATTATATGTTAACTATTTAGGTGTGCCTTTCTTTCTTTCCATTTTCTAAAAAGTCTCAGTCAATGAAGTATATTATAATGTTGCACAGGTGTGAATTGTCCTGTCCTATGGAATGCAACTCCCTCTCTTTCATCGTGCATGGATTGTATTTTAGTGCATGCTGCTTTATTATGACGAATGACTGCATTAGACAATTTTTCTTTGTTGATTGTTTAATGTTGAATGGATTCCATGAGGTTGTGTACGATTTAACAAATCAATTGTTTAATTAATATGTTTGCCAGTGTGCTTGTTAGTGCTAATAGCTGTGCTTTGCCATTTATTCAGAACTAGGTCTCAGTGTGCCTCGATAAGGATACGAGTTGCAAGAAGATAATAGCTGATGGATTGAAGTCATTGCTTCTTCTGGCAATTTCCTTTTTGATGTCTAAACACTCAATCTGAAAAGGTCATAGGTGCAAGATTTTGAAATTTTTGTTGGATTTCATAGCTTCTGGTGGATTAAAGTGCCAATTTGATACGTTTGTTATATTTAAAGAATAAATATCTCTTGCCATTTACCCTTGTGTCTTAATTTCCTCACTTCCTGATTGTTGATCGATTTTTCATCGGCATTTCTAGTATTGACCATTTAAATTGCAATGTTTTTCATGCTCTGTTTTTTTTTCGCCCCCCTACTCTCTATTTGACTATTTGAAGCCAAATTGCATAAACATATCGAATTCCGACTTCCAGGCTGTTATTGGACTTGTTCTTGTTATCATGGAGAAAGAAACCCATGCCCATACATGCATGAATAATCGAAAAATCACATACTTAAATTTAGTTAAAGAGTATGCCACGAGCAAACCAACTACCAACTTAACTTCTTAAAGAACCTCTCTCCAGATTAATATATCAGGCAACGTGAAATGCACGTGAGAAAGTGGGGAGGTTGATGAGATATTGTACTAATGTCTCCCATTTCTTTGAAAATAGCCTTGGCCCTGCTGCTTATGTCTTCCTGATTAATACACTTGCATGTGGAGCTTTAGTTGGATCTTTCTCTTCCTCTCGAAGTCCTTTGTATCCGCTCTTTCCTTTCCTCTTCACTCTCACATGCATACCCTTCCCATATGATAGATTTTTCTCTAAAATATTTCACCGAATCATTATAGAACTAAATTTCCTAGCTCTCTCGCAATCATATTGAGGATTGCTAATCTCTCTAGAGTTAACTCCATTCTTAATTGGCATCTGAATAATCTTTGATTCAAGCATAGTTATTCCTTCACGAATGAATTCTGTTATGGCTTGATGAGCACATCTATATGATGAAAACCACAAAGAAAACGTGAAGTTTGCTCAAATTAATGGTGAGTTAGTGATTCCCATGTTAGGGCAACTGGGGAAAACTTATCATGTTAAAAGGCATGCCAAGTCATTGTCAGAAATTGTTATGCAAAGGAGACAGGAACTTTAACAATGAACATGAAAATATCCCCCATGCATGGTTGCCCATCTACTCAAAAGTTCTGATATCCAACCATTCTTTACTCATATTATCGTATCCCATTCTCTTTGATCGTGAGACCGACTTCCCTTTCTTGATTATGTCATTTAAGGCTTAAATAGCGGGGGAATGAAAATTAAGCTTTAATTTCATTGCATTGAGTAACCCCGAAGATATTTCAAACTTATTTTCTTAATTAGCATAGTACTTATCAAATAATTTTCAAAACATAAAACACATATCTGGCTAATAAATGCGTTATCATAGAAGAGTCAAATTCAAAGAAAACGGGATTAAAATTAGTAATTTTGCAAGAATACTTCGGTATCGCTTAATTTGTAAAATATTACCATTTCTTTAATTTGCTCACACCCGGATCGAATAAGAATCAGCATCCTCACATGACAATGCTCAGAAGAGTGGATTAAAATACAAGTGCATTCTTGTTATATATTAAACAACAAGCTTATCTGTGATGAATTGCGTTTATTCAATAAAAAAAAACATGAGTGAACCTGCTACACCTGCTAAATAATCATGCATTTGTTACCCATGAATCTACCTTCTCTGCAAAGATTCAAGTGCTTTGTGTAAGGGAACATCTCATATTAAAAGACCATGAAATAGACTGTCCCTGCACCAAATTAACCATTACAGATTAAGTCGTATGTGTTGAACTTTGGACCATCATTTTACTGCATTAAAGGACAAGATTAACAGAATTGGATATGGAGAGATATAAATAAATAAATGCATGCATATTGTAGCCACCCCAAGTAACTGGGATTAACATTTACTTGATTTGTGTTAAGTTTCTATGCATCTAATCAAATACATCATACAGTACTAAATTCTTCTCTTTTAAAAGAAGGGTACTTTTTGATCCATGCACCCATCTAGTTTTAGGGATTTTCAAGCTTACAATGAAAATAACCTTTTTTTTTATTTTTAAATCTGAAACGTCTTGGTAAAATCTCGAGTTTTAACTGCATGCCTAGGCTTGCTAGCTCTTACAACAATAAGCTAACCTTATATTGCAAGGAAACCTAGCTAGGTAATAAAGATGGCATTAATTAATTTTCTTTTATAATGATTTCATATGTATATGTATATATAATATGGCAGCTTTAAGAATAATACTGACTACTCCATGAGGGCATGGAGGAGAGGCATGTGACCACCGCAAACATTGCTTCCTTTAATACACTGATATATTAAGTCTTTAATCAGAATAAACTAACATTTATAAATTTTGTTAAATATACTCTAGTTTTTTTGCTGTTACATATATGTATACCTCTGTTCCCATTTTAATCTCATTAATTCCCTGGTAAAGAAGACAAAATGTTCATTAAAAGAAGTAAACTAAAGTGGAAATGGCCTGGTAGCTAGTTAATTGGTGTACTGAAATAATTAATTTTACCAATCTGATCGAAGATGATATAATCTTAACAACATACAGGTCTATGGATTTGTGTTGCCTAGGATCCTGTATATAATATATATAATTGGACCCTTATTACTCTCTTTTTCTCTCTGTATTTATTGGCATCATATGCAGCTTTATTCTTTGCATCACAATCTTCATTCACATGTACCATATTTGTTCTTGTTTATAATATGAAAGCATACAAAAAATTCAACCAATTCTCATATAAGAAAATTATTAATTTGAATTTTTTTTTCCTAAGAATAAGAATCCCTTTTTCTTACATCAAACCTGTTGGTTTTTGTTTAGTAATATGGTGGAAAATGTTTTTCGTCTGATAAAACATTAATTTAATGCTTATATATTCAAATTAAAAAAAAACATTTTAAAAAACACCAAACACAATGTCAAATGATGCTTTCATCACTTGCACATTTAGAATAATCCGAGTGAACTATTAGAAAGATAGGTGATGAAATTCAAGCTCTGGATGTGGAAGCAAACCACCACCACCTTCATAATTTTTCAATTGAATGGGGAAAATTCGAGTTGTTGTTGCTGGCGTTGTCGTTATTACTGGAGCCCTTATTTGTTATTGTGGTTTTCAATGCGATCATTGTTATTGTTGCCGCCCATTGTATTATAAAGTAAACAATATTCAGTGAAATAAAACAGACAAACCCCACCCACCAATCTTACAAATTTGAATCAATACTAACTGTACAGAACAACAATCGTGAGCACTTGAATCATGGAAAGGTTTTATGGGTTTTCAAAAGGATGAACTTTTAATTAGTTTCTACTTCTAATGTTGTTCTTGTTGATGATACTGTTTTTACTAGCTTTCCAATGACTAATTTAAAAAATGATATTGAAACTGGTGGATCTTGTATTGCTAGAAGATTACATGGTTTTCCTTTTCTTTTTTCCAAGAACTATGAATTAAGGGAATAAAATTTTGGTAGATATTATTACCAAGGCTGTTGATAAGCTGTTGTTGTCAAAGTTTTTAGGTGTGAGAGAGAGAGGATAATTCATTTTTTTTTTCCTTTTGTTCGGATTTAAAAAAATAAAAATAAAGGAGAAAAAAATACATGTACGAATTGTGTTTTAAGACACATGCCGTCATTGTACATCTTTACATAATAAAGAGATAGAAATCAGGATAAAAAGGTCTATTCATACCAAATAATAATAATAATTCATGATAATTAAATTAAAAAATTAAAGGTTAGAAGTTTATCTTAATTTAATTGAAAATTTAAAACGCTTTGGAGTCATTTAACCTATAAAGTTAGCTTCTTCCAGCTAGGAGTATAAAAGTCAAACAAAATTATTACAGTGCCACAAAATGATGTTGTTGATGACGTCTAAATGAATGAATCCTGAATTGTACTTATTGCTCGAAGTTCTAAGTTTGTGGAAATTGATGCTAAAAAATAATAGTAATAAATCGCCAACCGGGTTTCAAGTTACCGAAAACGATGTGAAAATCCTGTTAACGAATCCCCCTTTGCTTTCTAACATTCTCTGGAAATGCATGGCTATGCTAATCCCCAATCCACCCACCAGCTATACCGGATTGTTCACTGAAATTCATGTACTACATATTCGTACCAATAATACTGCCCAATAGCCCCTTCACCTGCTTTTAATATTCATTTCGGTCACAAGCTTTTATGTGTTTTTCTATTTTTATTTTGTATTAGTTTTTTTCATTCATTTTTAAAATTATATTTTAATTATTAATAAGTTATTGATCCAACTATAAGTAAACTAGCTCTCCAAACGAATTTTTTATTAATGCATAATATTTTATTACTGAAATTGCATTTGTTGGAATGAATTAAACCTTAGCATTCTCGTTATAAACATTCCTAATTCTATCTCCAATATCAAATGAGAAAACTAAAAATAAAATTTTTATTTTAATATATTCAAAAGAGTTGGCTTGAGTTGAATGATTTCTAATTGCTTAAACAAGTGATCACGGATTTGAATCCCTTGTGTATGCGAGAAAACACCTTGAATATCCGTATCCATTTTGTATATCTGATCGAATAACGAGTGATTAATCTAGATTTTTCGTCTTGAGATACCTTAAGAATCCACAATATATATATATTCTTAATTGATCGAAAACTATATTTATCGGTGAATCTACTAATAACCTACCTATGGTATATTGATAAGCGTACAAACTCATTTTTATTTATTTATTTTTCCTTCTTCTTTCTCATTTTCTTCCCTCTCTGCCATCAAATCACCATGGCCATCTTGAAACAAAATTCCACCCATCTTAATTTTTTGGGTAGCTCGTCAATTCACTCAACTTTTTGTCATCTAACACTTGGTAAAAAATATATATATATATATTAAGAACACAAACAAACATATGGAAAAAAAAAAGAATCTCAAATTTTCTCTCTTGTTTTATCTAACTAAAAATCCAGGGAACGCAAATAATCACAATCCATATAAACCACTTCTACCATTATCTAAAGTCTCAACCACCATTTGTTCTTAAACTATTTTCCACCACAAGGATAAGCCATTATACTTACACCTCTACGGTAAAAACCTAGCTACTCTGCATCTCAAAACAACATAAGCTCAAATGATATTATAAATTTACATTAAATATTTAAGTTATACACAATTTTATTTGTTTGCTTAAGAACTTTCATTACTTTTGACATTTTTTTTTATACCATCATTTCTTTTGATTTTGGAAACAAAGAAAAATTAAATTGGTATGTCTAAATTAAATTAATCCTAATAAGATGACTATATATATGAAGAAAGAAAAGTGAATGCTTTAATTATTATTATTATTATTATTTATGTCTTGTACCTGAATATGATTATGTCAACGTAGCCCATATCACCAATAAAGAATGACCAAAAAGGTATTAAGCAAAATTCTTTTGTACACCCATAAATTAAACTATACTAATATGGAAGAAAGAGTACTTTGTCAGGATACTAGCTAGAGTATGTAGTAGATAGCCATTGAAGGTCATTAATTAGATGATTAAAAGGCAACCTTACCTTCCAGATAAAAACTAAACAAATACAATTTTTCTTTTTTTTTATCCTCAAAACATCCCAAATTCAAAAATTCAAACTAATCATTTGTTATTTAATCGAGCGTATAAAATATAGCTATAGCATAGCTATATGAGAAGTTTTCTATATATAAAAAAAATTTAAAATTGAAATCACTTATTTAAGCGATTAGAATTCATTTCGCAAAAGTCAACTCCCTTAGGTAAATAAATACAATTTTGAAAGTAAAAAAATTGACAATAAGACTAATTAATAAAATAAAAATAAAAAATAAAGTAACAAGAAGAAGCTTTTAACCTATCAATTTCATCCCAAATGACATAGATTACTCTACATTATTCATCCTTGTTTACATATTCATGCATACCTCTCTCTATGTATATAATTGCTTTTCTTTTTAAGAGGGGATTCTATATATATCCAAATTTACAGCTATAAAATTGAGAAATCCTAGATTTATATTGTATTCAAAGTAATAAGGATAGATAGGTTGGAGACCTATCACCTATAGATGTTAAGATGTCAATACAAAAAATGAAATTGTCAAATGATGACTTAAGTTGTCACATGGTAAGAGGAGTTTTCTTCAACAGCACACAAATTTGAGTCTCTTCAGCCCATTCTGCACCTTCAATTGAAACCTTACCTCACCCCCACATTTCCACTCTCTTTATTTAAATAAAGGGGTTCATACGATAAAGCTTGCACATACATGCGTGTATACAAGCTAGGTTGAAATTCCTAGGCACGAATTAATTTAACGGTGGTGGTGCTGGTGGTCCTGTTCGTTGCATTTTGTGCTTATCCTTATATCATAAAACAATATGAAAGGTGATTCCAGGCTGAGCAGAGCAGCAGGATCCTTTTCGAGAGTAGTCAACGTATTTTGTTCTTGGCATGCTCAATTGCCCCATGGAGGAGATGTCCAAAGATGTATATTTCTTCGAGAAGTTAGCATTAAGGGGTTAGAAAACAATGAGCTTAGCACTTAAAGGACACAATATTACCAATAAGGAAGGAGAACATCCATGTCAAAGAGTTGGTATTCCAGAAGAATTGTTAGAAAGAAGACATCAATTGTTTCATGACATGCCATTGGAACAAACTATATTTACCATTCTTTAAGGGAACAATTAAGGATGGTCACGTTCAGCAAGCAATGTGATACCACATGGGTGTCCATGTCTTCAATATTTGAATTCAAACCCCCCAAAAAAAATCATAACATTTGAATTAACAAACACTCAATTCTTTAAGTGTTTTGCTTTTACATATATTAATTCATAATCTTCTTTTGAAGAGCTAAAGGTTATTCTTTCCTGATTTAGTAAGTGGTGATAATCATTTAACAACTGTAATGAGCAAGTCAAGGCAAGAACATGATGACCGAATTAAATACTTATTGGATTTTTTTAAAAAAATAAATAAATAAAAAACCTCTGAGTTCAAGTCTTACTTATCATAGCTTCTTCAATTAAAAAGAAATAATTACCTGAAATTATGGAAAAATTGAGTTTCCAAAGAGTTTTGCCAATTTGAGCAAAGAAAAGGCAAACTCCAACAAAACATAATTAACTAATTAAAGAAATTGAAAAAAGAAACAGAAAAAGAAAAGTTAGGGAAAATTAGCCCCTACCAAATTAGAAAAAATTAACGAAATTCACTAACGAACTTCGCCACTAATTAAAACTCTCGAGACCCCACCTGATCATAAACTGCTCCTACTGCTAGATCATCTGCCTGAAATCGGGTCCCATGTGTTGGTGAATCAAGTAGTCATCACCACCGTTTGATACATCAAACACCATATTCTGATGGTGGTGAAGAAATTGCTGGTGCTGGTGTTGCTGCTGAGCCCTTGCCATCTCCTTTTGTCGCCTAAGCTCAATCACCTTACGGTGCGAGTTTGAGTGTTTAGTAAGCACAAACGTTGGGCTAGCTGCAGGCCGGTACTCAGGCACAAGCCGGCCGGACTTGTACCTTACACCACACGCATTGCACAGCGTCTTAGGTCCCATTGGTCCAGTCCGCCACTGCGGTGTCTTGTCCGTCGCACAATGCAGGCACTTGCGACCATCACCACCTTCAAAACCACCGTCTCTTTTCTTCAGCCCCGCCGCACCCTTAACTGTCTTTTTGCCAGAATTTGGATGTTGGGTCGGTCCAGGAATAATTTCAGGCTCGGATGATGAAGTTGTAGGCGAGAGCACTAGAAGGCGTGAGGCCCAATTGCCTGGTGCTGCCCGAGACCGTTTGCTCCGAGCCTTAGCTGGGACTGCCATTTCAGGATTGAACATTGTATTGCTGTTACTAATGTTGGAGACATTGCCATTGTTATTATCATTAGTGTTTCCTTCTGTTTGGAAGTGTCGAGTCTCGGATGATTCGTCAGGCCGAGCTTTCATGCCTGATATTAGCTGAAGCCTTTGCAAGTCTTCGCTGGAAAATGATTCCTCCACAAAATTCGACAGCCATTCTAGCTCCGCTAAATCATCATACTGAGCATAAGAATAGAAACCGTAATCAGCAAATTATTATTATTATTTTTCCCTCTCTTCAAAACAAAAACAAATACAGCAGTTATAGGAGTAACTTTTTTTTTTTTTTACTGTCTTCTTCTTGCATAATTCCTTGAATAAAACAAAAGTGAAGAAAAAGGAGTGTCAATGTCATGCATGAAAGTAAGGAATTACCGGCACGCAAAGCTCGCTGCCAAAATGAACGTCATGATGAGAGAAACTATTGGTGTGGTGGGACCCAATATCGCCGTTAAAGCTAGAAGGCTCACAGCCCGAGAAAGAGGAGGAATTGCAGCTATCAACGACTGTTACGGTGGAAGAGTCCGTGGAATTGGTGGTGGCAGTGACGATATTATTAGCAGGGTCAATTATCATGGCATCATCATCTTCATTGGAGAAGTCCAAAAGGTCTTCAACAATGAAATGGTCACCACCAATAGCCTTATTAGAGTCCAAAGACTGGTGCTTTTCATTAAATTGCGAGCTGCAAAACCCGGTTGCCCCATAGAATTCTGGTGCTTCCATAGTTTATCTCTGTGGTTTAAAGCAGAAGAAGCTCAAGAATTAAGGCTAAGAGAGTGATGTAGTTGTGTAAGGGAAACGGAAATGGAAATGTTTGTGTGTGTAGAAAAAAAGAGAGAGAGAACTGTGGTGGTAGTGGTTTTTGAGAAGAGAGAGAGAGAGAGAGAAGGAGAAGGAGAGGGTTTATTTGCGTTTGAAGGGGACAGGCGGACAGCTAAAATGGAGGATTGAGGATTTGACGAGGAAAAAATCAAAGAGTTGGGGGTGAGAAAAAAGTGAAAAATAAGTGGTAATAAAAAATTATAAAGAAATATGCTTTAATTTAGTTAAAGGAAAATCTTGTATGAAGTTACTTTAGTGTCCTTTTGCTTTTAGAAACTTTATTTCTAATTTACTCCCTGTTTCCCTTTAAGTTTGTAAATTAAACCCTATTCATCATTTTCTATTTCTACCTTGCAAATCCCATGTTTTTGTCTCCATCATTGCTATATAACACAAATAAAAAATTTGTAATAAACCATTCATTTTATTTTTATGTGTCGCAGTCTCTTTACCAATATTATTTATAACTTTTTTTTCAGTAAGTTGAAGAGTATTTCACTACCATTTCATATAAATTCATCACCAATTTATTTTCTTAAAAATCAATATTTTTAAGTTATTATTGATTTATTGGATCAAATAATGTAACTTAATTAATGAGCTAATTGAGAGTTGATCTTGACCATTGCATGGCCCACGCAATATTTTGATCCCTAGATCAACCGCACGTGCATGGGGATGATGATAGTGATGATCAAATAGTTGTGTACACCACGAGTACAGTAGTACAACTCTTATCACAAGGCAGACAGCTAATTACTGACATGGCACTCATGTAATACACTACAACAATTATGTCAAATACTTAAAAGGGTATCACTGTAAAGTAGTAAAAAGTTTTTGAAACGACGAATGGGGTAAAACTGATAATTAAGAAATTACTCAATAATTACGATTATGGTTAATAATTAAGTGTTGATATTCAACCCCTTAGGAACAAATCAGCAGGTTTGTCGCTGAAGCTTTGAGCATTAGCGTCCAAGTTTACAGCCAGACTACTCTGCTTTTATTTTATTATTTTCCCTCGGGACTCGTGTTTTTTGTTTTTTTTTTCTTCCTTTTCTTCTCTGATATTTGCTTTATTTTAATTCGTTTATAATTATTATTATCAACTACTCTGCTAATTCACTTTTAAACTGAAACCCCATTTGTAAGCACGATGATTACAGCTCAACTTGATGAAAATGGACGGTCGTGATCTTCCCAACGTGTAGAAACCCTGCTAATTCCGTTTTCAACCTTTTTGGGGCTTTTCACTTTATCTTGATGACGAGTAGGATTATGAACGAGTCTACCGTTGATATACTTGGTTTGCATTTTGCAGTATTTCATTTAATACACATTTTTTTAACATTAAAAAAAAAAAAAAACTTTGTTATTAGAAAGTTTCTAAAACAGAAAATGGATAAAATTCAGACCCACCGTCATGGGTAGATCATGTAAGATTTTGTCTAACGTATTTTGTTCCTGAGAATACATGGATTTAATTTGATGTTTATTATTACGTTATATATAGATGAGTAATATTTTAATAACATGTTAATAAAAAAAAGATATATTATTGATTTTTTTTACTTGTTAAATAAAGTAAACATATTATTAGTACTTTTTATGTTGTTTATTAATTTTTTTTTATTACTCATACATCCAACGCTCCCAACAAACTAATATATTAGGATTGAATACATGACCTCTTGTTATAAGAGACTATAATCACAAAGTTACAAGTTCTTTGATTGTTTATTAATTTGGTTATCATCATCACCAAGTAAAATTTGTTTATTCTATTGTTCAACTTCATTGCCTATTTGACTAAATTAATTAGGTTAAAATGCCAAAACCTCTCTTAAACTTTAATCCATTTGAAAAACAGTTCTTGAATTTTTTTTTTTTTTTTTTTTGAGATTTAGTTGATCTTTTAATTTTTTTTTGTCATTATCCCCAAAATAAAATAAAATAAAATAAATAGCTGCATGATGGAAATCATTCGAGTGAAATTTATATAGAGTACGTCGAACAAAAAATTAGGATCATTCTAGATTATTATTTATTTGTCTCCATTTTTTATATTTTTAATATTTAAAAAATAAACCAAATATAATTCTCAATCTTGAAAAATATGGAATTTTTTCAAAAGATGGATTGAATTTTTTTCAATATGTGTAAAATTTTATATCAAAATATCGGGAATTGAATTTTTTTTTTTTTTTTTTATAGAAAATAGGAGTGATAACTAAAAATTATAGGATATATAGACTAAATCTTTAAAAAAAAAAAAAAATCAAAGAGATCAAAACACAAATTAAAAACTTAGAAACTAGTTTTCAAATGAATAGAAATTTAGGTGACGTTTTTCCTTTTTAGTCAATTAATTATTTAACTACATGTAACCATGCTTTTATATTTTTGATAAGTTGATTTCCTAAGATGGTTAAATTCATTCCTTAATTTATGAATATTAATCTCTAGATTGAAAATTCCCTTAACAATAATAGAAATGAGATGACTCGACCCTAATTATATATACGTGCATCATTTTTCAAACCTTTCACTTAGGAAGGTATGTAGGGCTTTTAAATAGAAATTTTTTTAATGACTTAGAATTATTCATTTGGACTTCGAGACATTATCATATCCTCATTGTAAATACGAACTTTCCGAATACCTCACTTTTGTACAATTTATTTGATAGGCATGTGACAGTACTGCACCCCAATTTCTGCAATTAAACGTACTACAATCCTACAAGCAAAAGCTCCTACCTACTCTACTATAATTGAAAGATTAAGCTGTCTCACACCACCGTCAAATAGAAACTTAATTTGTAAAATTTCTTAAATGAAATAAATTCAAGGCAAACTTTTTTTTCTTCGAGGAACAAGACAAACTAATTAAATTCAAACAAAATAGAAGGTTTTTCTTTTAATTAAGTTCATAAAACTCCTTTTTATTATTTCAAAAATGCAATTAAAATATGATAAAAAAAATTTTAGAATATAGAGATAAAAATCTAAAATTCACTTGTTTTAATTAGATGCCTAAACTACATTTTTCACTTCTTCTGTTTTCACTAATTCGTCAAATATATATATATATATATATATATATATATATATATATATATATATATATATATAATTGATCGAATTGATAACTAGGACTAGCAACATGCATGGGTAAAAATCTGTCTAGAAGTTGATGATAATAATCACTCAAGTAATGGAAAGGAGTATTCAATCAGTTAAAGATAAATTTTCAATATTTTTTAAAAATATATTAAATTGATTGAAATATATATAGGAAAATGATTGATGGTACCATGGTAACAGATAACATTTTAAAAAATAGAAACAGTTTTGAGAGTAAATTTGAAAAGTAAAAATATTAAATGATATAATACCTATTAAAATAAAATATAATTTTTTATATTTCTTTAAAAAAACATTATCATTATGATAATTTTTTTTGACATTATTAGTGTTATGTAGCGCTACTGATAAATAAATAAATAAATATATATATATATATATATATATATATACACGAATGATTGATCGAATTGATAAGTAGAACCAGCAGCATGCATGGGTAAAAATCTGTCTAGAAGTTGATGAATGCTGATTTGGTACCACGTGGCAAACATCGAGGAGTGTAGGCAAGTTATAGTGGGTCCCTTGTGATTTTAACGACACCAATCCCAATATGAGCTGCTTCTAGCTAGCTAATGGATAAGGTGTTGGGGTTGCTATTTATTGACATGTAAGAGGAGATATTTTCCTTTTTATTTTTACCTTTTTTTAAGTTTTATTTATTTTTAACTTTTTATGCTTGGATTAAAAGGAAAGCCTGAAAAAGAGAGAGAACCTGGGCCGTTGCTTGGCGTGGAGGGTTTCATGCATCAGAATTCAGAGTTTTCTTTTTTGTTTTTCTTTTATTTTTATTTTTTAAATTTTAATTTGGTGAAGTTTTATACATATTAAAGTATTTATTGGATGGCTTGGGTCCAATATGCACGTGATAGAGGTAGAGGGAGGTGTCAGGGAACCATGTGAGTGCTTGGCTCGTGTCAAAAGCCAAAACTGACGGTGGTCAACAACACGTGTCGGTCATCCACAGCATCTTTCTCTTTATGTAGATGGATGCTTCGGCCATGGCCATGCATGGTTCTTTTTATAGTTTTACGATAACGTGATTGCACGTGCCCGGCGGTCTCTTGAGTTGTGGATATTACACGTGCGTTACGCCCCCTAGTGACCTGTCACGTGGGAAGGAGTGGGTCTTTGTAATTTGATTTTCACCATGAGAAATATTTAAGCATGCATAATTATTTGAATGATAAAATCACCTCCAATTGTGTTCGTTAATTTTAAATACCAGGTTTAAAAAAGCAAAAAATTATAAAAGAAAAACAAGAAAAGGGAGATAGAGAAATGAAGGACCTAATTTGTTGTGAAAGCAAGCAACATATTCTTGAAATCTGTCAAGCCTCCATAGGCACAGTGTTTGTAGTGAATAAAACGTTGGAAGGGGTGGAGTCTGGGTAAAGGTGAAAATCTATGAAAAGTTGTATGATTATCACTTAGCATTATTAATCCCAACTTTCTAAAGTTTCAAAGTAAAGTGGAATGGCAGCTCGACAACCCCCAGTACTAGGCCACAATCTTTATCAATACGTCAAGTTCTCTCATACCAAGTGACAATAATTAACTACACTTTAAATTTTAGAGAATATTTTGTTATCTGTGATACCCATTAAAAAAAAAAAAAAAAAAAAGAGAGTGATCGTTTCTTGTACGTAGAATTTCTCTCTTTATCAAATGAAAAAGAAGAAAAGAGAATGAACTAAATTAAATTAAAATTATTACGTACTTTTTTTCTAGCAAAAAAATTATTACATACTTGCGGCCTTGGAGATTACAAAGCGAATTTTTTTTTTTTTTGATGATTTTAGGGAAATTCAAAACCAATTTAGAAAAATATTTTGTTATCTACAAACCAGTAAAAGTTAAGGAGTACTGATGGTTTCTTGTAGAATTTCTCTCTATATCGCGTGAAAAAAGAAATAAAAAAGGGAAACGGAAATAGACTTATTACACTTTCATAGTAATAATTAACATTACTATATAAACTTTACACAATAAAATTATTACTTGTGGAAACCCTAAAGAACTAATGTTATTGTGTGCAAACCAAAGTTAAGAGTAGTTTTTCTTTATTTGTTTGTCTTTTTTTTTTTTTTCTGGCTAATGACTTTTCCAATTTGAAAATAAAAACTTGTGATGAGATTAATTACAAATACAAGTAAAGTGAAAACCAATAGTTCTATATGGGTTAGAACTATTTTTATCAAAAAGACTGCCCAATTTTCCATTTATTAACAGTACAATAATATATCCTAAGAAATGAAAACATCTTAAAAGGAAACATATTAAAAAATTTTCAAATCTTACACGTCCATAATTTAAAGTTTGAAAATCTTAATTTGCAAATCCATCCTGAATCTAAATGTTAGTATTAAATAGGAATTTCATAAATTAAGTTATATAAGGTCAAACGAATCTCTTAACAACTCAAAAATAAGTGAAAAAGAATATTGAGCAAGGGAAGTTGATCACATGATGGTATCTTCTACTTCATTATTTTTTTTTTCCTTTCCCCTTATATCCTCCATGATGTTCTCCATAAGCCAAGCCATGAACGAGCATTCGCATTAGGGCAAGCTTTATAACCAAAAGTTCTTCGGTCAAATGTTGTGGAACTAGGTACGGAGCAGCCCGACAAGGCTTCTACTTCAAGCCCATTTGCTTTGCTTTTTTTTGCTTTTAGCTTAGCCACAAATACTATATTGAAGGAGAAGGAAAGGCATGTTGCCCATGTACCAACCCAGCAAACACATACTCTTCGTGCTTAAGTTAGTCCCAATTTCTATGTTCTTGTAAATACACATAGGAAGAGCGTTTGCTTGTGTCCAAATATTTTTAATTGATTTTCTTCCCTATCAAAGCAACTGCTTGTAATTTGCAGCACTATAATATATAGCTGCCTACTGCCTCCTTTGCCTTTTCTTCCTTTCAATGACCATCCTGTTTGATCGAAATCGAGGAAGATTTTGAACCGAATTGGGCTTTGGGTGGAGTAGATATAGTGTTTCACGTTGGGCCGTATTTACTTTTTATATAAAGATTTGGACCAAGTCAACAATCCATCTATGATACGTTGTATAGGGAGCCATGCGGGCAAAAGAAATATTCATAACCCCAATGCTGGAGAGAAACTGAATCTAGAGTGCGAGAGGATAGATAAAATTAAACGCTCTCTCAAAAAAAAAAAAAAAAAACATCGTCTATTTTGTTTTTATTTACATTTATGTTAAATACTTAAGTGATTGAAAATTTAAGTGATATATTTTATTGAATTATTTTTAAATTAAAATTTATTTTATAAAAAATTATTCAAACACAACTCTAAAAAAAAGTACTTAGAAAAAATATAAACAATAAATGCTGATATGATATGTAATTAATAACCTTTTTAATTTGTGTAATAAATCACAAGAGACAATCTTTTTAAGAATAAGAAAATTATATAAAATAAACTAAAAGAAAACGATAAAATAGTGTAGCGCGGCAACTGTTCATTAACTGTTCATTCTTTTTTTTTTTTTTGGCCTCACTGGAAACGGAAAAGTAAGGAGTCAGATGTGTATTAATTATTTAACATGGGCCTTAGAGTTAAAGTGCTAGGCTGCTAGCAGTTTTCCAGATCGTGGCCCATACCTACATCTGGATTCTGGATCAGGGTAGTGCAAATATTCCTACAGGAAAGACAGGTCGAAAAAAAAAAAACATATTATTTCCCAAAGTTCTGTGAAGACTTGAGAAAAATCTGTAATATCAACCAATGGAACAGCAAAGGGCCAAACTTCAAATAAGTCCCCTAACTATATAGGGATTCTGGATTAAGATGATGAAAAGTTATATCGTCATAGCTTTAGATAATTTTCAATTGACTCCCATGCATGTCTCCTAAGACAATTGCATTCAAAATGTTTACAGAAGAAAAGACGTAACATTTTTTAGTAAAATTTTGTGAAAATTTTAGATGAAAAACTCAATTGAGAATTTATAGATATTTAAGAAACGTAACGAGATAGAAAAGATTTTCAAGGACTCAAAAGTAATTTATGTACATTTCTATTTTTCTTATTACTAAAGATATTCTCCAATTAAATTTTACATACCAAGTCTATTTTTTTCAATCAGATTACAAAAAAAAAAAAAAATTGGCTTAATACATTTTTTATATGTGTCTTTGAATATATATATATATATATATATCAATTTTGACAATATCATATGAGCTATGCCTGTTTTTTGGTCAGATATTTGTGAAATAGACAAGGATGTATGCACATTCAAATAAAATTTTTTTACAATAATATTTATTTATTGTTAAATTAAATACCTCTCTAATGGGCAAAAACATAATTTTATCATGCCTTATTACCTGATCCTAAATTTTCATAATCCTACCTTCTGGGTAATGGTGAATTATAAAGGTTGGGGAACATACGTATGGATCAAAAATCCTATAACCCTTTTGTGGAGGTATTCTTGATTAATACGCCCAATACTTTTCCTTTTATGTGTTCTCCATCCTATCATCCAACTTATCTTCAAGAGAATAAATAATAAATAAGTACTTTTAGTTTGACAAAACAAATTAAATAGTTTATTTTATTTTAAAAATTAATTATTTAATCCGTAATCGATGTTGATCATGCTTAATTCATATTTTAGAATAAAATTTTAAAACATGATTGTTTTTTTTTAAAAAAAATAAATTGGTTTAATATATATATATATATATATATATCATGAATTCTTAGAATTTTTATATGATAGTTGCATATATATAAATAAATAAATATTTTATTCTAAAAGGTTAAAAGTGTATTTGAAATAATTTATCTCAGTTCACTAGATATGGTCAAGACATATAAAAAATTATTGAATCGTTCATTTTATTAAAAATTAACTATACATCTTCCAACATAATACAAATTATTTACTATAAATTTTTTTTAACACTATATAACCAATTTATTCAAAATGAGATAATTAAAATAATTTTTTAAAAGAACCAATCAATTATTCAAATATTGTTTTTTATTCTAATTTTGTTGATTATTTTGTCAATAAATATATATAGATCAAACGCATATACTTGAAAAAAAAAAATCTTCTCACCAACATTAAATAAGAATAAAATTTTATTTTTTCATTGGTTAATTTTTATGCAAGTATATACATTAATTGTAACTTTATTTTTTAAATTCATTCTTATAAAAAATATAATTTTAAAGTATTTTTTTTTTGAATTCTTAATTAATTTTTCAGGTTTAAATTATTACAAGTTTTATTTAAGAATTCGTAAATAAAAAGAATAAATCATGCTTTTTAAGCAGAAATTTTATAAAAAAACACACAAAAAATAGTAATAATTAAATAAAAAATTATTACATTTTGAAATGATCTTGTTTTATTTACTAGTAGCGTTATGCGGATAATTTCAAAAATTATTTTTTCTCATCAGCATTAAATCAAAAAAAATTTCATTTATTAATTTTTGTCAAAGTCTCGTCAATTAATTATAACTTTTTGTTAGAATACAATATTGTGAAAATTATATTTTTAAATTTGTTTTTTCAATTCTTGATTAATATTTTAGCTAAAATTATTATAATTTTTAATTTTAAAATCAATCCATAGAGAAGAATGATTTTTTTAAGCGGATAATTTATAAAAAATTATAAAAAAATTAATTAAATTAAATATTATAATTAAAAAATTAAAATTTTAAAATAATTTTGTTCTATCGGATCTGCGGCATAGCGCGGGCAACCGGCTAGTATATACTCGTTTAATTATTATTACCGGAAAGAGGAAAACTCGATTCATGTTTATAGATTGAATTAAGTAGTATGTTCCTATATGGAGTTTTTTTTTTTTTTTTGTGATACTTAAATCGAAAAAATTAAAGATTGGGTATCGATCTCTATTTGACAAAAAATTCAAAATACTATATAACCACTTAGTGAATTAAAAATTCAAATCTTGATGAAGAAGTCTTGTAACCATACAAGTATGACTAAAATGAAATCGCAAAAAGTAGTATTTCTTTTTATCAAAACATAATTACAAGTGTTCTTGCTTAAGATTTTACACCAATTTTGCATAATTTCAGCCATGGTCCATGATAATTTTGATCAGCAAAACATTAAGAATCCTATTGGTCAATTGATTTTTATATTTCTGATGACTTGAAACTTTAGAAGATGTTTCGGTAAATGTGCCCTATCTGATCGTTTCTTCACCGAACCTCTATGTACAAACATGATTTGATAAGGGGCTAATGTTTGTGGACATCTTTATACTCTGGATTTTATCTTTAAAAGATATATATATTTTTTTAATTTTGATTTCATCTCTCAGCATTTGTTTTTTATTATTGTTATGTCTTTTTGTTAATATTTTAAAATAACATTGTTAAATCTTACTTTTAACTTGACTGAATTATAACACATGTCATTTAATTTTTATCTACCAAGTGGAAAAAAATGACTTTTGAAAAAGAATAAACAAATGTTGAAAAAAAAAAAGGCTATATAAATAGCAGAGGGATGAGAGAGAGATTGAATCAATCCATTGAGAAATTAGAGCTAAATTGAGAGAATTGAGGATTTTATTTTTTTTCACCATTTATATTTTGTCATACTACAAAAATGCAAGCCACTGCTAGATTATTGAAGCTCAGGTAAATTCTTCAGAAACAAAACAGTAAATTGCGAAAACACCTAGTAGTTAGATAGCAAGGGTATTCTATATTTCTATGTTCTAAAAATTACAATTTATATTTTATGATTTTAATATTTGTTTCAAAAAGCACTCTGTATTATAATTTTGTTTTCACTGTCAAATTTCCAAGTAAAAAAAATATTTAAATTATTACAAATTTATCATTATTATTATTATTTTTAATGGCCACAATGTTTTTTTTGAAACATTTCAGTCTAAAAAAGAAAAAAAGAGTCATTTCAAAATAACTAAATTCAACACAAAATTGAAAATTGAATACAAAACACCAAAACACCCAAATCAAGTGAATAAACACCCGAAATCTAATTCCAAACATCTAAATCTAAATCAAAACACCAAAAACTTTAATTCAAAACACTCAATATTTCAAACATTCCAAAACAATAAAAGATGCAATCATATAAAAAAAAATCTCAAAAAGCACTCCATCTGTAAACACCCTATGTGCACCAATTAGCTTGAAAGCTGCCTCTTCACTAGCAAACATGTTCTTGTCAAGATGAAGAAAGAGCGCAAATTTTTCTATATTAGACAACTGCCTCCTCAAAAAAGCGCTCAATTTTTGACCCATTTAGTTTGTTTTGGGCAGAACAATGAACCTTATATTATAGGCTACCAATATTTGAAAAAATATTCTCTAATTCAAGGTAGAGTTGTTGCGCTTTCAATGCAATCTTCCTTGTCTTTTCAAAGTCACCATTTTGCATTTTTCCTATTTGCTGTATCCCTTGCTCTATGACCTAATCTTTGTGGCATTCCATCCTTAGTTAAAATCCAAGACCACCAAATCAGATGCACCTGCTAATGGGGTCAGAGGCAGCCTAGAGAGGTTAAGAATTTGAAATTCAAAGTAAAAATGCTATAGGGTTTTGACTTTTATGGGTTTTTTTTTTTAAGGATAATGTGACAGTATAATCACAACTTAATGGCAATAATTTAAATTAAATAAAATAACTTATTCGTGCCACGTTTACGCCATGTTAAGCTATCATCCATTCCTAGTAAGAGCGCCTCCGTTGAAACAGCGGGAAGCTCTGAGGACAAAAGTGTACAATGTATATTCTTGAACTCAGTTTGACGTCATGTTCTTAATAAGCTGACCACCAACAACAAAATGAACAAAAACATCATTGTGGATTTGTATCTATTACACTTGAAGGAAAAAAAATCTTACATGCCATTCATCTATTGGTTCATCTCTATCTAGCCTTTTGCAAAAGATTAGATTTGCTATCCATCAAATTCTGTGGTGCCAAATTTTGAAGGAATCATACATGGTTGATCATGTTTTGCAGCAACAAAACTTAGTGACAGATAGTATAGTTTATGTTTACACGTCATGAAGATTGGTCTAGGGACATTCAGAATGCAAGTAAATTTATAAAACGGGTATCTATTCATATAGAAAATAACATTGTTATACTATTTTTATTTAGGAGTTAAAAGAGTTTCTTGTTTTTCCCAATATGTTATGGGGTTAGGATGGATTGTCCCTTTCTTTGTAATGAATTTTCTGATTTAATAAAACTATAGAGAATATTGACTCTATTTTTCCAAAAAAAAAGGCTTTGGTTGCATGGGACCTATTTGCAATAAAGCCATTGTTAAACTAAATTTTTATTATTTTAAAGCTAACTATCCCATATTTTAATTATTTTAACATGTATTATCTTTAACTATTTAGTTGCTATTTTGTAAACTAAATCAAATTAGGGTAAACTAAATTCTAATTTCTTTATAAATAAAAAGAATTAGTGTATATATATATATATATATATTCTAGTTTCTATAGAAATTAGAATTGGCAATTTTCTTGCATCTGCCCCAATAATAATTTATAGGCTTTCAAGTTCCAACCCAAAAAAACAGCTAACAGTAACTAAGGGGAACGCCACTTTTATGATATTTTTTGACAAGAAGTTGGAGTGGCATCTCCGGCAACGGTACGAGGAAGAAAACAAAGCTGGAGCCCGCTTGATCCACTGATAGAAGAAACCCAAATCGACAAGAAGACTATGAATCCAAATCCGCTGGAATGGGTAAATGAAATGGCATCAGACCCATATTACCTCCTCCATTTCCTCACTTTCTTCTCTTACTTCATCGTCCGCACCTCCGCTACTTCACTCCTCTCTCCTAACCTCACTCACCGCCTTCTTTATCGAGTACACCGCCTCTCTCTCTCTCTCCCTCCTGTTAATTTTTCACATTGCAGCTTTTGGCATTGTGAAATTAACTTTTGTTTATTTATTTTTGTGTGTGTAGGAGATTCAAGCGGTTTTGGCATTTGCCTTGTTAGCTGCTTATAAGGTAATCCAATGAAATTACTCATTTTTTTATTATCGATAGTCTAAGTAAAAGATGTTGTGATTTGGTTTTTATTTTGTTCAACAGATTGTGCGGGATGAAACATGGGAAGCTTTTATTCCCGATATGCTATTTTTCGCTAAGGTGAGTTTTTGCAATTGCTTTTTCCTTTTACCAACTTTAAGCAATGAAATTAATGAGTGTTCTTGTTGATTAGCGAACATGATTGCAATGATACAAAAGCTTATTCAATATGGGATATCACACTTGTTAAATGCTCGTGTGTCGATGGAATGTTGAATTTTCATTGACAGTAATGCATACTTACGAAGGGCATTTGCACAGTTGGTAACTAGTAAAGAGTTGTTTTAATTGATGTCATTTTGTAAATTATATCAAATTCTTTGTTGGGAAAGTTTGATACTGCCTTTGCCGAATTGCAATTGCCACCCCCTTCTGCAATTGTGACTAAATACACCCTGTATCTGATGAAAATGAACCCATATTTTAGTTGAACTTGGCCGGATATGGGTTACAGCCAGTTGAATATGACCAGATGTGATAAAATTATGATACTGATATCCAGCTTTGGAAAAGGCATGACTTGGTGATTTATGGCGACTCACTGTAGACCAAACCTCTCTGTTGCACTGTGTTATGGTCTGCTTTGTTTCTTATCACTCTCCTCTAGATGCTTTTTCATTCTCTTCTTACTTGAATCATGTACTAATTTTTCAGATTTTTCTTGTTGCCATTTCTTTGATAATGGATTACCATCTGGCTCTCTGGTACATGGTGGTATTTTCAGGTTGGTATTTTTGTTTCTTTTTCTATATTAGGGCATCCTTTAGGAAACTTTACTGGAAATTACGAAAGATGTGGGTTTATGAATTATATTGTCATGGTAATATGATTTACTTTCTTAATGTTTAATTGTTGTGCTTTTGGCTTTCTAGTCCTACCAAGCAAATTTTATCTAGAAACCTTAGAATTTTCTCCTTCTTGATCGCTTTCATTTGCTTCTTCCACTGTAGGAAGCTTTTTTGTTCAATCTTGGTAGAAAATGATGCCAAACTTTAAATTGAATATCTTATGACTAACTGTGTAGATATTGACTTTAATGCTTGTTTGATGCAAAAATAACTTTTCTTGTGCTTTCCTCATTTTTCAGTAATATATCTCGTAACACAACCGCCTGCTTTTGAAAAACTAGGTATGGAATAATTCGGATTGCCCTCATTGATCCTATGTACTTTATGGATTACAGACAGGACTTGGTATTTGAGTACCTCAGGATGCTTTTCTATATATATTCACACACACATTATCTGATTTGATTTCCAGGTACTTCAAGTAAATTAACGCCACTGCAATTAGAGACCTTGCTGACAGAAGGGAACACATCAAGATTCTGGTTGGTTGGTTCTCACACTTGTCCTCAGAATTTTCATCTTAAAAACGTCCACTATGCTGACTTCCTTCAGGGCAATATATACAAATGTTTCATGTCACAAAATGTTGATTATCTTAGGAACTGGTGACTTTGCCTTTCTGATAATTTGTGATTGTGATTCACATTTCATGAAAGTTTAACATGTTGAGCGTTGGAACACGTGCATTACTTCATGAATCAAAGTCATTGAGCATTAAAAGATGTGCTCCTTGAATCAAATAATTGTTTAGGGAGAACAATCCAGGATCTCATCTCATACATAATGACCAATTTGTTGAATGAGCTGCAGCTCTTTTATTCTCTTGTGGATAGTAAAACTACATCAGGGGGGGGGGGGATTGGCTATAAATTACAAATTTTAATGACAGAAGACATTGTGGCTTATGTTTGTTCTTGCTAACAGGACAATTCACCTATGCACGTTCCTTGATTACAACATTCATCTTTCTTTTTCTCCCTTCACTTTTGATTTGCTGCACTACAGGTTAACTTGCCTTAGATGAAGCTGAGAAAGCTTTCCTTGGAGATTAATGTGTATCATTGCTCACAAATATTGAACTTTACTAGTTAAGGCATAAGGTGGAAAACAATGATTTTTCTTGTAGCGATTTTGGTGATTTTTCTGATTCCTGCAATTTGGATTATGGGAAAACCTTGCTTCTGACAGGTAGAATTCCGTGCTTTGTGCTCCTCTGCTTGCATACGTACTAGTCGGTGCTTTCCAGAGCTATCAGTTACGTAAGTTTCCCTTTTTCAATTGCCATTGTTGCTTGGATATTTGTAGCACAGTAGAGAGTTTCATTTGTTTGTTTTTCATTTTATCACTCATGTTATCTATTAATTGTGTGTGCATGCGCCCGCGTCTCTTTCATGTTCCTATAACAGATACTCGAACAAGAACTTATCGTTTGGAATAGTTGATCTTGGACTCTTCCCAAATGCTGCAGAAACATTTGGAATATCTCTAAGTGGTAAATAATATGGATTATAAGCCATTCTCCGTTATTTTTCCTGTTCTTCTGTTTAATTGTTCTTGAGTACACTAGTCTTGAAAGGGTGACCTTGACCTGTAGGAGGCATGAACCAACTTCCTACGTATATATTGTTTGAGAATGCAACTGAGGTTACACGCTTTCCAGAGTGGGATTATGAAGCAAAGTCTTCTCATTCTCCTGTAACAACGGTATTCTTTTCAACATTAATTTCTTAGTTTTCTCTCATGTCGAATTGTTTTCTATTCTATTGGCAACCATCCTTTCATCGATGGAAACAGAAGAGGCAATTGATGACTCCAATATGGTTTTATCATTCATGGTATGCCTTGCGCATTCCTTGTGACAGAATGCATTTAGTTATTTCTTGTAGAATGCTTTGGTTTTTCCAACCTGGGATAAAGCATCTAATTTTAAATCCCTCGTTGCATGAGTTCATATGCTTCATGATGAGGTAGATAAATCACCTCAGTTTCTTTCTCTTAGTAATTTTATATCAATACGGGGACTGACTTCTAGTTATTCTGCATAGGTTTCTCATTGTAAACGTATTTTGTGCAATGTGACTTGAATATCTGAGAATTTTTATTAATTCACCTCTGGCCTATCTATTTTGCAGAGAGTTCTTTCACGGCATTTTGAACTTGATCGGCGCCTTCTGGAATATGTAAATGGTAAATAAGCACTGGAATCCTGAGCTATTTACTTGTCAGTTTACAAGCAGTCGTTCCAGAATACATGAAGGGGCTGCAAATCATCTTGATCACTTTGCTGTTCCTTTTGACAAAGAATATTGACCAGGAATATGTAAAGTTGTCAATTTGCACAATTTTACACATCTTTTAAACTGTTCACTTTCTTTTGATATTAAGAGGTTAATGAAGCAAGACTGTTAAGATATAATGACGGGCCTAGGCTCATCTTTTCGACATGTTTCTTGTTCATGTAACTGTCGACCTATCGTTGCATGAACTGAAATTTTGTCCTTTTCGCACCTCATGAGCTAATTGTTGTCCAAACCAACGATTTCTTTCCCATTGCACATTACATGAAAGTAATTAAAGGAGTGATGCATCAACATGTCACATGGAAAAGTCGCGGCACGTTAAACACTCAACATGCCGTAGCCCATGGCCATACATCGCAACAAGTTGACTTGTCGATTCTGGTCATCCTGCCTGGAACATAGGGGCGGTGTTGCCATTTCCAAAGGATGTGGCCTGATTGTTAGAGCTTGAAAATCTACCTTCAATTTTATTATAATTGGAGTTGCAGTTTTTTATCATATGTGACAAAGCCCTTATCAACTGATGCTAAGGAGAAATACTTCTTGTCATGAAACCAATTTTGCGGAATAAAACAATTCCTGCCGGAGTAAATTTAAGCCGATAAAACTATTTCCTACTTTTGAAAAAGAAGGAAACAATGGCCTGCTCGTTAATTCATGCTGTGTTTGCTTGATTAATGACCAAAAGTTTTACACTTGAGATCCGATATGTTATAATGAAATTTGCGAGCGTATATATAAATTAATCCCTCCAGTTTTGAGAAATAAATAAATTAATTCCTCTTGTTTAAAATTAATCATTTAGTTTCTTAATCAATGTTGACAATGCTTAATTTCTTAATCAACGTTGACAATGCTTAATTTAGTATTATTTTATTTCAAAAAAAATTTGAACTAATTAGTTTATTTTGAACTAATTATTTCTCATCGATCTTTTGATAGTATTTATTTTATTTGATTTTTTAAATTAAAAATTAATTGAAAAATAACATAAAATGAACAAAAAAAATATTAAATAAGTAGTTTTTTAAAACAAAAGGAACTAATTAATTCATTTCTCAAAATTAAAAGGACTAAATTTACTCAATTAGAGAAGAGGCATGTGATTTTTTTCGTTGTTTTTTCAACTCGTGAAACTGCAATGTGATTTAACAAAACAAGCCCATTCCCACAGGCAGCCAACAAGTACACCTTTCTTATTAAAAATAGGTACTACTTGAATATTATTTTAGAAACTCATTGAGAGGCCTGGCATTAGTTGGGCTAGGTTTCGATGGATTTATAATAGAAATAACCTACCTGATATTAAAAAAAAGGGAGCAATACTCGTCAATTTATATAAAAGAATTCTATTAACATCAAAGTTTCATGAGAAAATTGCAAATTAAAACCCCTTTCTTATTATTATTATTATTATTTTATGTTTGAGTGTTCAGTTGGTAAATTCTTTACTTGAATGCTTAAGTTTTGAAAAAAACATTTGGTGCTTACAACCTCTTGATATTAGAAAATAACGGTATATCTAGAATGAACTATTATGTGACAATTTTAAACTAATAAGTGACAAAAAATAGGTACTACTTGAATATTATTTTGAAAAAAAAAACCACAATTGAGTTTCTAACCTTTGATTATTATTATTTGACAGTCCAAAGTTTGATTTTTTTTTTATTTGAATTCTCTCAATCACCCGAGACTAAAAAATATTAACATGGTTGGAATTCACTGATACTCATCAATCTTCAAATGACACCCCAATAAAAAGTGGATTCTATTAATTTATTAAAAAGACAATTATAAAAATTTTACATAAAAAAATCGTTGGCAAGAATTAAAAAAAATAAAAAAAATCAATTACTATTAGTCTAATGAACATCAAATTGTTTAGATTATCTAAGATTAAAACTATTGGATTAGGCAAGGAAAATATTTAGATGATAATATCTTGAACTTATTTTAAGAAATTGGTTAGCAAACTTGTCAAATTTATTTGACTAACATTAAATGATTTTGCTTTTTTTTAAAAAAAAAAAATTATTTTCAACCTTTTTTTTTTTACAAAATTATCTATTTTTTCAATGAATTTTAGTGGGATTCTTTTTTTGTCATGTATTAGTTAAAAATTACCACATATGAGTGGATTCTGACCACGTTAATTTTTTCTAATCTCAAGTGATTTAGAAAAATCAAATAGAAAAAATTAAAAATTAGAGATTCAAATAAAAAATTATAATCAAAGGTTAGATACTCAAATTGTAGTTTTCTCTAAAAGAAAAAAATCAATATTTTTTTCTAAATAATCCAAGTGACAGTTCATTCGGACATATCGGTATTTTTCAATGTTTGGTGATTATGGACACTCAAACAGATAAAAGAATTCAAAGCTTTGGCATTCAAATAAAAATATGTACTAGTTAGTCTCTCAAACAAAAAACAAAATAAAAAATTGGGTACTTAAATTGCAATTTTCTAAAGGTTTATTAACTTTGTTATAGCAGTTTGTAATTTAAGAACAATACTTGTACAATTAGTTTCATTTTTAATCAAATATTAATTTTTCTAACCTTAATATTATCAATAATAATAAAAAAAAAACTCACATATCCTACCTGACAACATTAAATATCAAAATAAATTCTTAGAAATTCTAAAAAAAAAGATAAATCTCTAAAACTTATTAAAAATTTGATATATATACACACACAAGGCAATAAAAATTTTAGTTTATCATGGTAGGATACCATTTGAACATAATAACCTCTATACAAAATGCAGACATGGATAGAAAAAAAACCATTTGAACAACATCTACTTCTCAGATTATGATGACAGATTGAGAATATAGATAAATCTACATACTGAAAGTATTATTAAAGTATTTTTACCAAAGATTTTATTGAAACTGTAGGAAACATCAAGAAGGTAAAAAAAAAAAGGCTTTAACCTTACGTCATATAAGAAATAGGAAATGACCATGTATAACTAGCCTAAATTTAAAAAGCGTTAGTCGCCCTAGTCCACGAATCTATTCTAACCATCGATGAAATTTATTGGGCCAATAAACTGAGTCACTACACATACCCAACAAACCTCTCAAATTTTGAGCTTATTGGCCCATTAACCCTCTTGAGACAATACTTAGATTTGTGCGAGATAACCGAAGCCATAACGTGTGGTCACAGCCATTGACCAGCGAGGAATAAGAAGCTAGCCTTTAACTAAAACGAATTAAAAACTGCCACCTGGGAGCCACAAAATGGGGCCAGAGGCTAAATATACTTCTTGGAAAACCCGAGATTTGCGTCACAGTGAAAGTGGCGCCGCCGAATATTCTCCAAGTGAAATTAAATATTAATCCGGAGGACAGGAAAATTACGATTTGAAAGCGAGACAGTACAGTCCCAAATCATTTTCAACCAAAGATGCCTGGGGTCCAATCCTTCTCTATTTCCTCGCCGCTCTGTGGACCCCACCATTTCCTTGTCGGCCCACGCTCAGGCCGTCCCACTTACCCTCGCCTTTTTCCTCACTCCCCCCATTAACTTGTGCTTGGCGTGCCTTTTGTTTAAGGGTCAGCAGTCACCTTTGCCTTTGGAATTGGAATTGCAAGGCCCAAAAAAGGATTGAAAATGTTGGAGGAGGGGTCGTGTCTGCCCTTTTTTTATACGACTGTTGATTGAATTTTACTACTGCTGCTGGTCTTGGATGTGCAAGCTGTATGGTTTCTTGGGACATTCGTTATTCGTAGTAGTATAAAGAATGCAGCATTTTCTACTTAAATCTTCATGGCGTGTCTAACAAGCATGTTCTCGCATTCATGTATGGTTTTTAATCATTAGATTTTAAAGTTTAATAGCTAAAATACAGCATTCTTAACAATTGCTGCTTATTTTATAGATGGATTGAAGATCTACCACTCATGATCCTGGAAACGTACTTTCTGTGAATGTCCATGTTCTTGTACATCAAGATTGCTTCATATAATTATGTTTTTCATTGTTTTAATAGTCTTAAATATAGAATCTCAATGATTGACGTAGGAAAATACATGATATATTATTTCAAACTTATTATGTGAAATTTTCAAATCGTTGGTAGCGTTGGAATTTTGGTTACTGAATTCAAAATTTCAAACTGCAAAAATAAGGATGATTAGGGAGAGGGTTTGGAGTGCTAGAAAGTTAATAAAAAATCTATTATTGAGGTTTTGCTAAATAGTTTTAAGTTTTTTTTATTGAAATTATTATTTAAAATTATATCACAATTTTAATGTACAAGATAACGTGCATGAGTTTTTGCGAGCTTGAAGTAGAGTTGGAATAAAACCATCATTGAGGTACCAACAATTTAACTTTTTGGATTAAATTTTTTTTTTTTTTTGGCATATTAAATCAAATAGTTGAGATTGAGTTTCATGTAACAAATTTAAAACTTGTGATGAGTTGTTTATTTAGTATGAGATATTTTCATTAATACTTCTTCTCACTTCAATCTGTTTTTTTTTTTTTAATTTGTCAAGTGATTTGAACTGTAAAATTTTTACCGAACTCGCTAGATCTTTTTCGGGTTTTAATATTATATAGAATTATCTTTGTATTATCTATTTATTCATTGTGAGATAAATTTTTTAACACTCGTTTTGCAAGCAATTCATTTTTTGGGATCTCGTTAAATAATTTGGATTTCAATTTTTTTTTTTTTTGTTGAACTTATCAATCTTTTTAAATTTTTGATATCATATTCAATTAGGCAATTAAGTTTAGATTCTATTCAAAGAATTAAGATTCATGGTGGGTTATCTTCGCACTATATCAAGGTGTGAGACATATTTTTTGTTTATAAAGTTTGAGGATTATCATTAACAAGAAAAAAAATTTCTTTTATAGCTATAAAATGATATTTAATAGTTAATACATAATGCAAAAATAAATATTGAATTTTACTATAACTATGATACGTAATTAAATATAAATAATGAGAAGGTAAACTCAATAAAAACTCATCTTAAAAGATTAATTGTTTAAAAAAAAATACTAGATGAAAGACTAAAAATAATATATGTGTTATATGATGGAGTATGTTCTCCGTCCCCATCTTTATCTACATATGGAATTTTGTATGTATAACTAAAAAGGTTTGATCACTTCTTAACTTTAAATCATTTAAAGTTGAGTTTCTGAATTTTGTATTAGTTTTTTAACTTTTAATTTTTTGAGATTTAGTTAATCCAATAATTTTCATTTATCATCTTTCCTTCTAAAAAATTCAATTCTAAGTATTTTAATCTAAAATTTTTTACACACGCTGGAAAAAATTCAATTTATTTTGTAGATATTATTTTTCAAAATCAAAACTATATTTATTTATTTTTGAATATTAAAAAATACAAAATTAGAAAAAAAATAACTCTGAAATGATCTAAATTTTTTTGAAAAACTCCACGTAAATCTCACTAAATGATATCTATTATGAAACTATTTATGTGATTGTTATTTTTTGAAGCAAATGATAGAAAATTAAAAGATAAGCTGAATCTGAAAAAAATAAAAAATAAAAGTTCAAGAATTTTCAAAACTAATAAAATGACTTAAAGTCTAGGAGTGGTTAGATACTTTTAACACACACACAGTATATATATATAATTTAGCCATTCTATTTTAAAGTATTGTAATTTGAATAATACTGGTTTGAGATAAACGGGGAATTATCTGTTTGATTCTCTGGGTGTTTTTTTTTTTTTTTTCATTTCAAGAAAGGGTAATGATATGAAAGGGTAATTCAAGCAAAGTTGGATCTGATGGAGTACAACAATTCTTATAATGAGTTAGGACCAGGGACGTCAACCAGCTGGGTAGTTGGCCATATGATTTTTATCTTTATTAATTACCTCAATCTATTCAATTTTAAGAATAGATGGAATTTTATTGGACCCATGTTGGGTTTAGTTCCCATTGAATTTTAATCAGTTTTTTTTTTTTAAAAAAAAAAGAAAAAAAATATGGTAATAAATCGATACAAATTTTAAATTATGCATGCTTGGGGTACAAGGGTAGGATACCTTATTCAACTCTTGTGACCCTATCCTCCTAAGCAAGTGATGCTGCACACACAAAAATGATAAAATAAATAAATAAATAAAAGGCTTATAGGAGAAGTCGAATAAAATCACACCAGCTGCTATTATTACTGTTGTGATTATTTTTTTAAATTTCTTCCCGTGCTATATAGCATTTTACCCGTGATATATATATCTTTTTTCTTTTTTTTTTTTTCAAATGGCAGGGATAGGTATTTGAGGGTCAATATGAGGGGAAAAAAGGGATTTCCCTCGCAATTACAAAATTTGCCTCTCATAAGAACAAGAATTGAAATAGTAAGACAGGATGATAATGAGTAAAATTTTGATATATTTGATACTGACGGATTTTTTGTTTAGAAAAATGAATTTATTTTGATGCACTAAATTGGTTCTAGAATATTACCTCACAGCAAAGTATAATATATATATATATATATATATATATATATATATATATAGGTAGAAAAAAAACCACAAATTAATCATCTATTAAAAAATAAATATTGATTTATAAATCAAGTCTAGAGTATAATTTTTATAATTAATATTTTCAAAATAGTTGAAGTCTTATGTTAAAAAATACTTTTCAACTGCGTTTAGAAAAAAAAATAGTTGCAAGATAACGGAAAAAAAACTAGCCGGACACTTTCTGCTGAGAAATGAAAAATGTTTGGTAGAAAAAGTGTGGAACACATAGAAGATTGTACAGTCATTATTATTATTTTTTTCCTTACCACAAATAGTAAAAGTGAGGGAAAGGAGGGGGACAGAGCGACGTCGTGTCAATGTAAAGGATGTCTAGAGTCGGGGGCGGTGTTAAAAAAAAAAGCCCGTCACGTTGACGAAACACAAAGTCTTTATTAGTATTTACAAGGAGGAAGCAAGCCAGACACGCCGAAAGATGACGACACGCGTTCAGTTCTAGTGGTCCCCATTCCCACATGTCCATGCTTGCTGGTGGTTCTGCGATCCACCCTAGTGGTCCCCAGTTTTTAACCAATCTCCCTTCATCATGACGACAAAATATTTTGGAGCAAGCCACCCCATTGATGCCATATCATTTCATCAACTTAATTAATTTGTACGTATTTGGACAAAATTAAATCGGCATCTGTATCTTGCTTTGTTAGAATATAACAGTAAGTCAATATTCTAATGCACTGAATATCAGGATTACAAATGTAACACATATATAATTTTCACATGGCCAAAATATACAGATAAAGTACGATTATTTGAAAAATAACTAGATAGCGTGCGTACTTATGTAATATTGTCGGTCCACAAACTGAGCTATGAAGCAGCTGGATTACATTGATTCCATGAGATTCAACGGTCTATAAGGCAGAGATTTTGTGGAGAAAAAGAAAATTCAAACTCTTCTTTTCCTTCCTCTAAGCAGAAAACGAGATTGTTTATGTTGTATGGATCACGAATGAGGCAACTGAATGCTCAAATTTGAATCTTTGATTCGAACTGGACTGCTCGCTCTGAGGCATGCATTAAACGTGGTTCTGGAATCATGAGAAAGCAGAGATGGATTAGCATGGCAGCAAAAACTTTAAACAATTAAAGTCAAATGTAATTACTGTTGAGCGAATCCAAAGCAATCCTAAATCACTTTTTTATACAAAAACACCCTCCGCCCCAAATATTTTTAAATAGGTATAAACAAATTGGCTCCATCTAATTACTTCGTCGCGTGATTCCCTCTGAAATTTTTATTCTTTACATACCAATTTATGCATCGACATAATTTATTGTTATTGTTTTGAAATAGCATGGTGTTGGTGCTAATCGAATTTGATATCAAAATGGAGTATATCGACATTTTAATTTATGATCAAGAATTTCGTGATGAAATAATATGAGGTTTGATTTCGCATAGTAAACCACTAAGGCTTACCATGGATACTCAATTTAAAGAAACAAATAAAATAGAAGGAATATTATTAATCGAAAGAAATAACATTCAATAGATGGATAGAATTTTGTCAATCGAAAGAGACAAAACTCATTAAAAAGAATGTAAACATCATAAATAAAAAAATATAACACTTATATCATTAGCCATCAAAACATTTGAAGCCATTTGTCTACAATTATCGACGGATTCAACACTTTTTAAGTTACAATAATAAAATTATTGAAAATAGTAAAAGCTATTGAACTACTTGCAAGAGTGTAAAAATTAATTATTATAAAATAAACTAGAGAAGCTTGAAGAAATTTGTATTAAAAAAGTCTTGTATTGTTAATTGTCCTCAATTCTGTTAGTCATCTTTTTTTAAATAGCCATCGATTGATAACTCGTCTTAGATTTAAATTTAGGCACAAACGAGTTATTGGTAATTGCCTCATTATTTCCTTTAGGCATGTTGTCTTGTCGAATTTGGCTAATTGCAGGACTAAACGCATCGTTTTATTTAAGTGTTATGGTTTCGTCGAAACTCGATTAGTCATACGAAAAAATGCATCGTTTTACTTAAGACTTAACGCTCTGTCTAAACTTAATTGGTTATAAGACCAAACGTACTATTTCATTTAAAGCTCAATGCTTTGTTGAAATTTGGTTGGTTTATAAGACCAAATACACTCGTATCATTTATGTTTTACTGTTTTATCCTAAGAATATACCATATTTGGTTTATAAGACCAAACACATGGATAGAATTGGGTTATAATAGTTGTATGAAACTCTCTCTCCGGTTTAGATTCAAAAACCTAAATTAATCTCTCACTATTTTGTTAGACATACAAAACGAGAATAACTATTTAGAAAGTTTTTATTTCCATAAGAGCTCGAACTCGAAAGCACTTACGTAATCATCTAGAGTTTCGTATTTTCAAGTTAATCTTTTTGAATATGATTTATATTCTCTATTTAAACATAATAGTAAAAAAAAAATTCAATGGAAAAAATTGGTCCATAATAATTTTTTTACGAGAAAAACGGAAAGAATCCATGAAATAATAAGTCTATAAAAAGAACAAATAAAAATACGATAGTCACAGAAGTGAGGTGGCTGCTGGTGAGGAGCACGTTGTAAAGTTAAAAGGAGGAGTCATCACGCGTGCGGGGGCCACACTTGTGGACCACCACACCATAGATTTGGTCTGCTGGCGTCAAGTACACGCTACAACCAACGTAGCATATGTCATCGTTTCATTCGCTAACAGTACAATGACTATGCAAATGAAAGGGATAACTACAAATCAGTCCCTGATAAATACAGGCGTTGAGTCATAGTCTCCATCTTTAACATTTTTCAAATTTCTATCCAACCTATCTTTAACTAGCACAAATCAATAATAATTCATGTGACTAACACATGCAGAAAATTATTTTTGTTTTTCCGCAATAAATTCTTAATAGATATTCATTGAAAAAGAGAAACAAATTCTCATTAATTTAATTTTAATTCAAGCATCACATTGTAAGAGAGAGAGAGAGAGAGAAAAAGAAAACAAAGAGAGGAATTAAACTTAATTTAATGGAAAAACATGCAGCGTTGCTTCACACTTCACGCGTAATATATACTCATATAAAAAACTCTAAAGCTATATATAATAAAATAAAAATGATATTGAAATTAAAAATTAACTTAAAAAAAAATCAATTAATAGTAGCGGTAAGAAAAAAAACTTAAGAGTTTTGAGATTACAGATTAAAGCAATTTATCTTTTAAAAAAATATAGTTCTTCTATATATATGATCCAAAGTTTGAACATGTTTTGCATGTGTGATCATACCTCAAATTTTTTTTTAATAGTGAGCATATTTTTTATATATCAAAACTGGATTTTAAATTAATGTATTCGTAAAAAAAAATCATATTTTTTCTATGATTTTCTAAAGATTGAAATTCTGAGAAACAACCAGGAAAGGTAAGCCAGGTTAACGAGCCTCAGGATAGGGGGATAAACATGTTCCGATTTGGAAAGGTAAGCCAGGGAGAAACATGCAGCATTTTGGAGGTTGGAGACTGATTTGGTAGTGACTATATAGATTGGATATTAATTTTATATTTGTGTGAATTAAATTATTATTATTTTTTTTTTGAAAAAAACATGTCTTCTCATGAGTGGCACATATTTCCATGTAGCAGCGTCAGTGGCGGGGTATGCTTCTACTTTTACCAGCCCATGCCCATAGCCACTGCCGTTGACATATTTGTTAATTGATAAAAACGAAGGACAGAGATTAACTTTCTCCTTCTTAGGGTTAGGCAATTGATGTAGTTGTTGGATGTCCACCCTTACCTTTTAATCAGACTCAAGATTATGACTTGGTAAATCTCTAATCAAGCCATTAAAAGCTGTATAATGGAGAAAAAAGCGTACAAGATTGTGGGTTTAATTTAATTGTAAAGACGCGTATGTTGAAGTCTTTTTCTTTGAAAGGGAAAGATTTTGTTTTCAAGTCTATCTTTGGATGCGGAACATTGAAGGATAAAAAAAACCCCACTACTCTTGGTCTGCCATTGCTAGGGTTTTAGCCAATCAAATTTGCTTTGGAGGTAAAGTCTGATTTTCGTTTTTTTCAAGTTTGCCAAATTTAAGGTTGGTTTTCAAGTGGAATTGGAAGGGACGACCTTGGACTTGCTTGTATTGTGGTGAATAGAATTGACTCGATCAAGTTTTGAAAAGGAATGGCAAAAGAGGGAAAAGGTGTATTCCTTTACTAGGAAGCTAAGATGTGTTATAATTAAGCTAGTCCAGTCCTGTTAAAGTTGGGATTGCCGACTTTTATTTAGAAATATAACTTGTAATTAAAATCCTATCTTCTTTGTCTTGATGGGCACACAATCGCACCCGGATATAACCAAACTGCTCACAGAATTTAATTTAACTTGCTTATTTACCCTCCCAAAAAAAAAAAAAACTCACAGCTCCAGCAAGCTCAATGACTAACTCTCGAACAACAATATATTAACCTAACTGACTAAGTATAGTTAAGCATATGATAGAACATATTTAATCAAACCTTAATAGGTTGTATTTTCGTTGATTTCATTGAACCCACGATGTACGCGATCTGGCTGTCTTGTCTGAAAATTGGATTCATAAGTAGCAGTAAATTAAAATTGTCAAATTAACTAATCATGTTTTAGTCATTTAGACCAAAATAGTTTTAAATGAGATTCACATCTTGATAATCAATATTATGGACCGGATACACGGAAATGGAGGAATTAAGAAATTGGATTAATTCATTTAATATCGAGTCATGTTATCTTTGGCTGACCGCCTTCTTTCCTAGCTAGAAGACTAGGAAATATTAGTTGTCTTTATCAATTGTGAATATTTCAGATTCCAAACTAGCTCCAAAGTCAAACAATTAACCCTAAATTCTAGCATCTCTTTCGCATGACCATCGATGTGAATTATTATGCAGTCTTCCACCTTTTAAAGGTTTTTCTTCTTTTCTCGAACAAATATGTTGATACTTTATACCACTGCTGCTATTCTGCTTTCACAACAATATTGTCAATAAGTAATATAATCCAACGATTGCGCATGTATTTTGTGATTTTTTTTTCAATAAAATAGGCTTAAGTCTCAACTATTTCAGTTTATTTAATTATTATATATCGATAATAATTATTGCTAATTATGTAGTTTAAAATCCAACAGTTCTCCAAAAAAAAAAAAAAAAAAAACTATGCCACTAATGTTGGTATTAATAGACGAGGAACTCACGCAGTAAATTCATCTCCACAACAGTATGTAAAAAATGAATTAACTAGCTTAAATTAATCCCTTAAATTGTCTATATGTAAACACACGTCTGAATCACAATCGTTCTCTGAAAAATACTTAGGGAAATGAGAAGGAAAATTGATGCATTTTTATGTGGCATGCGGCCGTATTTGGATAGATAAAGGAGAGAAGATGATGATGAGAGAGGAAAGGTGGTGACGGCATTAGAAATATCGAGGCCAAATGCAAGAACCCTCAATTATTTTGTCCACGCAACCGGCCTCTTCATTCATTATTCAAAATTTTGATTTCATTTCCGTTTCCATCCCGAAACCCTATATTTCACGTGTCCAATTCAATATTCTTCTAGCTTCTAAGATATTTTACTACTAGTTTTTCTTTAAAAAAAAAGTGTATATAATTGAGGGTGGAAGAAGGTTTATCAATATTTGTGAGGTGATTTAAACGGGAATGAGATCTTATCTTAATTTTCTTGGGAGGAAGGTATTAACCAAAAAAAAAAAAATAATTTCATGCTCATATCAAAATAGGAACGTGTACATAATAATGGTTAGGAAAAATAAGTTTTTATCATTATTCTTTATTATTATAGGGTGATTAAGAAAGAAAAACCATGCATGTGATCCTGAAGAAATCGGTACTTATGTATGTATGTATCAAAGAAATTTATTTATTAAACAGATTACTTATCCTTTAATTAAAAAAATAATGTACAAGTACTTTTGTAATTTCATTCAGTCGTTAATAATCACAGTTGAATTTCAGAATTACAGACATCGCCATATTTACAAGAACATACTTGTTATAATTACCGTGTCTAGCCCTTGATCATGGTTTATAATACATTAAATTAATCACTCATGTTTTAAAAGTAGCTCCTTAGTTTAAATTTTTTTTTTAATTTTATTATAAAATGTGTTATTTACTTCACCACGATACATTGATTTTGAAGTGATTACAAACAAAATGCTGTTATTTAATGAAGAAAATTCGAAGATGTTATAATTACAGTAGGGTTGTAATTAGCTTAAAAAGGCCCCTAACGTATAGAACAATTCTCAATTAGGTCTCTGAATTATTATTATTATTTTCAATCAAAATAATCTTTTTTATTTAACAGAACGAGGACAAGGCCTTAAAGAAATAAAATTATATCATGAGAAAAAAATCTCATAACTATCCTCTAGTACAAGAGTTAAACAACTTACAAAAACTTCTGAGAAATGATGAACGCCGGCATCTAAAGAATGCGTATAATTGGCTAGCCAACCTTTTAAATTTTGTATCCTAAGACCTTGTTAACACAACTTTAATTTCAATATAATGTATAAATAATAAAACATAAATATAAATATTTGAAAATAAATAACATCAATACAGATGATAATTAAGGATTGGATTTATCATTATACAACTAGTCAAAAAAATTCATATCTATAGTGCTAATTTAACATCACCACATTAATTATCGCTAATTATATCCGTTTTTTTTTTTTTTATTATAGGTGTATATAAAAGATGGATAGATATTTTTGAAGGAATCATAGAAAATTTGGATATGCGTTTAACACACATTTCTGTTTAAGGAAATTATTTTTTCTAAAATTGGATGTAAAAGAAAAGGATGGGAGTGAATATAAAGAAGAGAGGGACAAAGTTATTAAAGCAGACAAAACAGAAGGCATTTTGTTCCAACAAGATGATATAAACTCTGTAAAGCATACGCGCTGTTAGCAAGTGTATAGATGGCTTTGCTTTCTCACGCCTCCGTGGCTCCACCACCACCTCCACCTCTAGAGAGAGAAGAGAAGGAGGTGAATAGGTTAGCTAGTGTGTGGGGTTTCAAAGCAGAAAGAGCTTCGAAAGTGCCAAAACCAAAGAGAGTGGAAAACAAAAGAAAAGAAAAGCGAAAACAGCAGCAAAAGCTACAGCAAACAAGCTGCACCAAACTTCAAAACCATTACAGCAATACAGCAACAACAACAACAAGCAACAGCTAAAATCATATATTAATAATAAAAAAATATATAAAGCAAAGAAGGATAAAAATGATATGATTTGACGTGATATGATAGGATAGGATATGCTAGTATATGTGAAAACAAAACCAAAAACGAAAAACAAAAACAAAAAACATGCTCTGATATTCTGTCTGGTATTTGGGGTGTTTTCTTTTTCCTTTTCTCTTTTATCGCTCCTCACCCCCACCCTCTCTTCCTCAATCCCAATATTCCTCTCGCCATTCCCTCTCCTTTATCACTTTACCAAAAGAATACCAAATATATATATATATATATATATATATATAAAACAGCTAAAACTAGTAACTACTCCACGACCCCTACCTCTCTTTTTTAACTCTCTATCTTCTCATGCCTAACATGTTCCAGTTCTAGACCTTTCACTCCACTCCCTAAAATACTTCTTCACTAAACACGCCAAGAAAGAAACGAGAGGGAGAGGAAGATACTTGTTCATTTTTAAGAGGGGAGACAAATCCTAGTTCTTACATCCTTAACGTTGTGTTTTCAAGAACTCAAAAGCTTCGTTGTTCTTGTTATTGTTTCTTTTGAAGCATGAACCTTAAAATCCTCCTAGTTTTTGGCCTTTAAGCCAACATCTTTATTCTGATCTACGCCAACGTTTCGTCAAACGGTAATTCTTTCGTTCAGTAGCCACATGTATGTGAGAGGGAAGATCAGAGAATATTTCTTCTCATATTATTGGTTTCTTGGAATCTTGAATGAATAAAGTTTTTTTTTTCCTTGAATTGTAGAAGGGATGATGGCTGTAAGTTCGACGTGTAAGGATGGGAGTACTAAGATAGCAATGGACAATGGAAAGTACGTAAGGTACACACCAGAACAAGTGGAAGCACTGGAAAGGCTTTACCATGAATGTCCCAAGCCAAGTTCTATGCGTCGCCAACAGTTGATTAGGGAATGCCCTATTCTTTCTAACATCGAACCTAAACAAATCAAAGTTTGGTTCCAAAATCGAAGGTAATTAATTAAGACAGGAACCTCTTAGTTACAGATAATATAATTGTACTTTCTTACGAAAAGAAAGAAAGAAAGAAAGCAGAATTATATAAGTCCAAAGGTTAAATCTTTTATTGTTCAAGATTTAGTTGATTTTCTTGGTTCGCTATTCTTTGAAACATTTTTCTTTTTTGGGTTTGAAGAATTTGGAAGTTTTGGGTTTGAGTGATTGTCTGACTGTGTTTTTTGCGTTTGATTTGTACAGATGTAGAGAGAAGCAAAGAAAAGAGGCATCGCGTCTTCAAGCTGTGAATAGGAAATTGACAGCAATGAATAAGTTGTTAATGGAGGAGAATGATAGGTTGCAAAAGCAGGTGTCTCAGCTGGTATATGAGAATAGTTATTTCCGCCAACAGACACAAAATGTAAAGATCTCTCTCCTTTTGTTGTCATATTTTGACTAGCTTAGATTATGAGGGAAATTCGGATAAAAATGAAATCTCTAACCTTGTCAGGCTATGGAATTGCTTGTTCATGTTGAGTTCAAGTTGAATTTAGTGCCTTTAGGACAACAAATAACTAACGATTTCTTTTCATTTCCTTTAGATTTCGATTGTTGGCCAATTAAATTAGATAATATTAAATTTTTGAGGTAATTAGCTGTTTGCTAAATTTTACTTGACAAAAAATTTTGGTGTTTGGGTTTTGAGTTAATTTGCTGTTTTGCAGGCTACAACCCTTGCCACCACAGACACAAGTTGTGAATCAGTGGTGACCAGTGGTCACCACCATTTGACTCCTCAGCATCCGCCAAGGGATGCCAGCCCTGCAGGGTTAGTGGAATATTTGCAGCTTGTTCATGTTGGGTTATTTTCTGCCCTCGTTTTCTACAATTCCATTTTTGTTTTCTACAATATGGCTTAAGAGGTTGTGTTTGTATGTTTTCTAGACTTTTGTCCATTGCTGAGGAGACTTTAGCACAGTTTCTTTCGAAGGCCACTGGAACTGCTGTGGAGTGGGTCCAAATGCCTGGGATGAAGGTTGCTACTCACTTTACCATCATTATTTACTTTGTTAATCCTATTCCTTTTATTTTTGTCGTTATTTAGATAAATTAATACAAGTACTATAATCTTGCTAAACTTCTAAGCAACATCCTAATCACATCGATCATACAAATATCTTGGATTCCACTACCCTTTTTTTTACATGCCAACATGTCCCCCTTTTTTCTGTTAACATGCTTCTCTATCTCGAAGAAAGTAAGAGAATGTTGTTTGCTTTATTGTATTCCCTCATTAATAATCGAATTATAATTTAGGAAATCAAAATGAGTTTTCAAAGCAATCTGACAAATGGTTGCATAAAGTATTTCACGCCTTCCTGTTACAATAATAATTACATTTATAATATGTCGATAAGGTAAATAGTTAGAAGCAACAAGGCAGAAATGAACTTTTTCTTTCTTTTGAAGCATTATCCAGACAGGATGAGTTTGTCTCCTGGCTCATGAGATTCCTTTTCATCTTGATATTTTTAGTCCCATGCTATCCTGTTTATTGGTTCTGAAAACAGTAGAACTTGTGCCATGACATTTATATTAAATGTGCTAGTACTAATGACTGATAATTTCTTTTCTTTTTATGTGTATCTGTGCAGCCTGGTCCGGATTCCATTGGAATCGTTGCTATTTCTCATGGTTGCACTGGTGTGGCAGCACGTGCATGCGGCCTTGTGGGTCTAGAACCTACAAGAGTATGTCCTTCCTCTGTTTCGTATAAAGAGTACAATTCTTGGTTGTGATTAAGTCAAGAGTTGATTAATTATGTTTTGTGTAGGTTGCTGAAATCCTTAAAGATCGGCCATCATGGTTTCGTGATTGCCGAGCTGCGGATGTTGTAAATGCATTGTCCACTGGAAATGGTGGGACTATTGAGCTGCTTTATATGCAGGTATGAACTCATTGTTTCACTCAGTTATTTTGGGCTTAGTCTTGTTCTTGAGTCTGCTCAATTTTTGAGCTTTGCTTTGGTTCAGCTCTATGCGCCGACAACTTTGGCACCAGCTCGTGACTTCTGGCTACTGCGCTACACATCTGTTTTGGAGGATGGTAGTCTTGTGGTCTGCGAGAGATCACTTAACAACACTCAAAATGGTCCAAGTATGCCACCTACTCAGCATTTTGTGAGAGCAGAATTACTGCCTAGCGGGTATCTTATTAGACCTTGTGAAGGAGGTGGATCAATTATTCATGTTGTTGATCATATGGACTTGGAGGTACTTAAATATTGTCACTATGTATTATGAGTTTACCTGTTCCCTTGCTATTCGAATTAAATCATTAATTTCATGCAGCCTTGGAGTGTACCTGAAGTGTTGCGCCCACTTTATGAGTCATCAACATTGCTTGCTCAGAAGACAACAATGGCGGTAAGACTGTTTCTATATTCAACATATTGTCAGTTGTGTTATTCTACTGCATTTCTTTATGAGAAACATATTTTGCTATGAATTCTAGCTTGATGGTTTCTATGCACTAAATGAAGGGTAGTGTAATTTTGATTGAAACCAGCTATATGTTTATCCAAGAAATCTGAACAAGATTCAGGTCTTGAGCTCTGATATAACCATGACATTTTATGCAGGCTCTACGACATTTGAGGCAAATTTCTCAAGAAGTTTCTCAGCCAAATGTAACTGGTTGGGGTAGAAGACCCGCAGCTCTACGTGCACTAAGTCAGAGACTGAGCAAGTATATAGCTTATATTCTTTGTACTAAACTTCTTAGTAGTACCATTGATACATGAGGTTCTAACCATCCTATTTTATAGGGGATTCAACGAAGCTGTTAATGGATTTGGTGATGAGGGATGGTCTATGTTGGAAAGTGATGGCATTGATGATGTAACCGTTCTTGTAAACTCATCTCCTACCAAAATGATGGGTGTAAATTTTTCTTATGCCAATGGATTTCCATCCATGAGCAATGCAGTGCTTTGTGCAAAAGCATCCATGTTATTACAGGTAAGTTTTGTGCTTGTGCTCAATGACAGCAGGATATCTACAGAATTTGAAAATTATACTCCTACAAACATTAGACCGCTGAATGTATAAAGTGGCGAGTATGTAATTCCAAGGAGTTGCTACACTGTCAGCTAAAACTTTTTATGGTCAATAATCTTATTACTTTCTCCCACAATATTCTTAGAAGAAAATTCTGTCATTTTCATGTAGAATGTGCCTCCAGCAATACTTCTCAGATTCTTGCGTGAACATCGATCAGAGTGGGCAGACAGTGGTATTGATGCTTATGCAGCTGCGGCTGTTAAAGCTGGTCCTTGTAGCTTGCCAGTGTCGCGAGCAGGAAATTTTGGAGGTCAAGTTATCCTCCCCCTGGCTCACACAATTGAGCATGAAGAGGCAAGTACTTTAAGTGTTGGATTATTTGGTTTCAATATTTCATCTTGTTTGGCTTCTATCCTGACAATTTTTTTCCCAATTTGCTGTCTTTTAATTCCATGGCATAATTAGAGAATACTGTCTGTCCAATTTCAGTTTATGGAGGTCATTAAGCTCGAAAATATGGGCTATCGGGAGGACATGCTCATGCCTGGTGATGTTTTTCTGTTACAAGTAAGTGTTACTTCATTTTGATTAATTATCTTCATTATGGACTAAATATATTTTACTTTTTATTTATATTACTATTATTACGATTCTTAAGTTTATACTTGTTAAAGTTGTTGACTTGTTATAGCATCCACTCTTGTAAAAGAGTTCAGTTACCATTTATTTTTTATCCAAACAATTTGAACTTAACACCTTGTTGGTTTCTAATGATCCTGTTGACTGTATTTCTTCAGCTCTGCAGTGGAGTGGATGAGAATGCTGTTGGCACCTGCGCTGAACTCATCTTTGCCCCAATTGATGCCTCTTTTTCTGATGATGCTCCTATCATTCCTTCTGGTTTCCGCATCATTCCTCTTGATTCAGGGATGGTGAGTGTTGATATAATACAAGTGGAAACGATGTTTTACTGTTTCTGTCATGTTATTAGTATTTTTGTTGATCTATTAAAAATTGTTTCTTGATGTTAGTTTCTACTTCCTTACTTTTTGTTCATTAATGTGATGCAGGATGCCTCCAGTCCAAATCGCACGCTTGACCTTGCATCTGCTCTTGAGGTTGGACCTGCTGGAAACAGAGCTTCAGGCGATCTCTCAGGCCGCAGTGGGTGCACAAAGTCAGTGATGACAATAGCATTCCAATTCGCATTTGAGATGCACCTTCAAGAAAATGTAGCATCCATGGCTCGGCAGTATGTTCGTAGTGTTATAGCTTCTGTCCAGCGGGTAGCATTAGCCCTTTCCCCTTCTCATTTTGGTTCTCATGCCGGTTTTCGGCCGCCTCCTGGTACCCCTGAAGCACACACACTTGCTCGTTGGATATGTGAAAGCTACAGGTGCAGCATTTAATCTTTATCATGGATCCATGCACCACCGTCTACTTGTCCTAAAAGCTTAGATGTAATTTACTTAATCTGTTTTTCTTTCAATCATTTAGACTAAAATTATTTGATCTTCTTTGCAGGTGCTATTTAGGTGTGGAACTGCTGAAAAATGAAGGAAGTGAATCTATTCTTAAGACACTCTGGCATCACTCAGATGCACTTATGTGCTGCTCTTTGAAGGCATGTCTATAACTATAGATATATTTGTATTCTCTGAATCTGAGTCTATTTTAAGATACTCTAATCATTGAACGTTGATATATTTCCTTGGTGTTGCATGATGCATTGTAGTATGACAAGAGAATAGCATTGAAACTATATGTATAGTCCTAGCCATAACCCTCCCTTATCTTAAAAATGAAGAGATGCTTTACTGTCTGTTCTATGAAAATCTTCACTTCCCATCAGCCTATTGCATATATGCTTGGGCGCGGATTTGAACTTTAGTGTCCCCATCTGAATCAATAATTGGTGTATTTGCTAATCAATGAACTTTATTTTTCTTCCTTTCTGCAATGCAGAACATAGATGTGCATTATTTCAAATATGATAACTTATTTATTGCCCTATGCAGACTCTGCCAGTTTTTACATTTGCAAATCAGGCAGGACTTGACATGCTCGAGACAACCTTGGTCGCGCTTCAAGACATCACTTTGGAAAAGATATTTGATGATAATGGAAGGAAAACATTGTGCTCAGAATTCCCACAGATAATGCAGCAGGTATGATAACTATTAGAATACACTTAAGGTAAAATAACATGAAAGAATAGAGGATAGTCTAAACAGGAACTGGTGGAATGTAGGGAAACAGAGAAGAAATTTACATTCTTCCAAGGACATGAATGCTTCCATCTTAGGTCCCTAGTATTGTCTTGGCTTTAAATCTTCGAATATTCTCATTTAGTTTAGCAATGTCAATAGCACTCACTTGTAAGAATATGTGAAGGCCTTGGCAATGAGAACTTGAGTGACCAAACGTAAATTAAACATCAGGGAAACAACAGAACACCATTTTTCTGATATTAAAGGTTATATTTGCCCTTGAAAATTTAACACGCGACCTTAAAAGCAAATGAGAAAATGATTTGTCTTTTTGGGACAATACATATGGATCATGTTTCCATGTATCATATGGTAAAGTTTCAGCTGATTTAGCACACGTTTACATTGATCCTTAGAATATAATCCTCTTCTTGATGGGCTTACATCAGCTTGTTGAATTAAACTAACTTCTCCCATGGGCTGCTGATGAAAATCTCTGTTTCTGTTAAGAGATCATCTCCCATATGCTCTCAAAGTTGGTACTTTTAGCTTTCCTTCATTTTATCAAGTATGGTTGGTTAACTTACTGTAAATTACTATTGGCAGGGTTTTATGTGCCTTCAAGGTGGTATTTGCCTGTCAAGTATGGGAAGGCCAGTCTCTTACGAGAGAGCCGTGGCGTGGAAGGTATTGAATGAAGAAGACAGTGCTCACTGCATTTGCTTCATGTTCATCAACTGGTCTTTTGTGTGACACTTATGGCCAGAACATAAATCCTGAAATAAAACAGATTAGACCAATCCTTACATTGTATTCTAAAATTGGTTTAGAAGTTTTGAAGTGCCTTGATACTGTAATGAGCTTGATGCAACAATGACATCTGGGGCCCCGTTCTTTGTTGCCCTTCTCTTTGTATGGCCCCATCTTTTTGCTGCACTTCTCTTTGTATCTTGCTTTATACTTTTATTATGAATGTCTAAGCATCTCTCTCCCTCCAAACATGGCACCCTGTCTGCACTTCTTAATGTTAAAGAAAGTCGCATCACAGCTTATATGCCCATATGCCAAAAAAACCTTTGGGAGCGTCTTTCCATGAGGGGCACTGCTTGGTTCAAATGTGGACTGCCATTACAGAATTTCCTTTTTCTTTACCCTCCTTTTGCTCCTTTCTTGTCGAGCTTTGTATCATCGCTTTTGTCTGCTCGGATATGGTTGCTATCAACTCAAGTGGGTGCACCTTATTTTTTACTTTAGCCACCAACCTTGCAAGAAGCTTTTGCTTTTTTTTTTTTCTCTTCTAGCGGTCCACCTCAAATCCTTTAGCCTGTTCAAAGTTGGGACCTCATATGTCACTAGTGATAATAATGCCAATATTACGAGCTCAGCTAAATCGTGTATTGTTCTTCATGTCTCTGTCTGGTTGATGATCAATATAAAATGTGTGAAGGGACCAGGAGTGTTGTCAATCTGCAGTTGGACTGAATTACTTTACGCTCAAGCAATTATCGGAACCATGAGGGTACTGAGATAGATAATCAATCCACTTGACGAATTCTAATATTAAGTTATAAAAGGTGAAGTACCTGTTCTGTATGGATGGGTTGTTTAAAACTTCACAAAGAAATTAAGAAAACAAGAAAGATTTAATCTTAATACATCAAAGCTAGTAAAAAAAATATGTGCAGTGGATTTTATTATTATTTTTTGAAAAAATATTAACAGTAGCCCTTTGCTACCAATTATATGTCTTGAACTTGTTTACTTGAACCCTAAAATTGATTTTGAGAGAGACCGGAAAGAAATAGATAGCTAGAATAATTACAGCAAGAAACATGATTACATGTAATAGAGGTAGAGAATTATGAGATCAATAATTGGGTTTGATATTCTTATTGTCAGATTGATTTTGTTTTTCTGGATATTAATAAATAGTTGATATTTTTGAGTTAGCTTTTTCATCAACAAAAACGAAGTTTACTATTTACCGAGCTAGATCCACAGGATATTCTTCTTACCAGTCCACTTAGAATCTTCAATAATGTTATCCTTAGCTTGATGATAAACTTTCACCAAATTCTTCCGGAACCGGAATCTCGTGACAAAGACCATTCTCATATGTGCCAACCCTCTCACTATAAAAAAGACAAAGTGATTGCTTTCAAGTATAGATATGTCATTTCAATATCTACACTTGGAACACAAGTGGTGGCATGGGATTTTATTGGGGTTTGCTAGAAAATCCCACTCGTATAATATGATTATCGAATTTTCTACATCTTTTCAAATATTTAGACTTGATTCCAAGACTGCGCTAGGGTTATCAAGAACTTCTTCTTCTTCTTCTTTTTTGTTTTGTTTTGTTTTGTTTTTTTGTTTTTTTAATGGTCAAACAGTATCTCTCATGTTCAAATACTTTAAATCTGTTATCTTATACTACACTAGCACAGAAAAACCCTAACCCTTCTTAAGAATTTAGCTTACTCAAGAATGACATTTGACATTACGTCACATGCACTTACTAAGCTTTCACTTCGATTTGATTCAATTACGTCTCCTTTGGAACAAGCTTCTCCTCATTGCTCAGGTCCCAATCAAGCTTTTTAGCAGATGATGATGTTGAGAGAGATTTTTCAAGTTCCAGTGATGACTATATACCAATCATTTTATTAATAGAGTACGTACGTGTCCACCAAAGATTCCAAAATGTTCATTCTAGCTTGAATCATGTAAAAACGTTTTAACTCAATCTACGGAAAATTCCATTTTAATTTCAATTTCAATTTCAATCAAAACCCACTAAAAAATATCAGAATCCCATTTCACTTGATATAAGACACAACCATACGAAAATGATTTCCATTTCGCCTCTTTTATATATACTATTTGTTAAGAGAGGTCTCTTTTATTGTTCATTCATCTTCACCGAGTCTCGTTCATTGTTGGAACACTACAAGAAATTTAACAATTAGCGATGGATATTTTCATCGCTAATGGTCACAAATCCATCGCCATCTTCAATTAATGATAAATTTGCAATCAAAAAAATTCCATAGCCAAATTGATTATCGCTAACCCTTGTGATTTATTGAACCGTATCCATTGCTAAATTTGTGATTGAATATTTGTTACTAAAATTATTTTTCCATCGCCAATTTTACTCAAAAGACACCTGAAGATACGTGGCAAATCCATCGTAACCTCGTCTTTAATTCGTCCCTAAAGAACGATAGTAAAACCTTCATTGGTAGTCACGTTAATTTCGGTTGCTAATCTGTCGTCATTATGGTCGCTAGATGGACGTAATATTGCAACAAATTTTTTTCTATCACCGTATTCTTGACCAAATTTAATCTATTTTCTTAAATTCATCGCTAATCCATCCGTAATTTGTCGCTAATCTAATGCAATTCCGTCTCTAATTCATCGAATTTTTTTTTAAATTTTTGATATTCTTAGTAGTAACTAATAATTAAAATAAACAACTTATTATAAAAATTAATTTTTTATTAAAATAAAAATATTATAAATTAAATTAAAATTTATATTTAAAAAATATTCGTTAGTACTTAAGAAAAAGATTAAAAACATAAAAGAAAAAGTAAAAACCGCTCCATGTCATATAATCCCCTCTCATCTTCCTAGGGCTCGATGGGAGGGATGGTGGAATCCTAGAGCTCGTTGGGAGGGACGAGTGTCATCTTAGTGCTCGGTGGAGGGACGTTGGTGTCCCGAGCCTCGCTAGGAAGGATAGTGGAGTCGTTGCTAGTGGAGGAGTTAGTAGGCAAGTGAGTCGTGCTGTGCCATCCTCTCTAACGTCAATGTAATCGAATGCATATGAGTCTTGATTCCCCGGATCTTCACCGTTGTTGTGTGATAATGTTGCTCGCTTCTTTAACCTCTCCCGCATTGGCCTTATCATCTCCGAGTATTAAGTTAGAGCCTATTCAGCAATATTGGGGCTAGGATATAGCGATGCTACGGAGGAGTAGGCTGGTGCCAACTAGTTAGGATAAATAGTGAGACGCCTCGATCCGATCCTGCAAAGCCTCTTTTCTTCTCTTCCGATACAACATCGAAGTATATGGTGTCTATGTTGACCTGTGGCTCCTCAATTCTAACCTCTTGCTGCATCCTTACAACTTTCCGTATCATCTCCTCCACACATTGTTGTGTAATCAAAATAATTATAACGTTAATAAAAAATAAAATAAAATTTTAGATTATATTTTCATATGTATAATATAAAAATGAAAAAAAACTTACTATTAAGACTCGGACTTGTAAATTGACGATATTTCCATCTCTCCACTTGTGATTGACTCCAAACAACTCTAAATTTGTAGGTTGACACCCCAATTTTATAGCCTAAACAAATTGGCAAAAATAATAAATGAGATGCAAATATTAATTTCTTAAATATTTAATAATATATGATAGGATTTACTAAGCGACGGATGTGCTTAGAAGTAGATATGGATCCTCCTATATGTTTGGATGGTGTCGAAGCAACCCCACCGATCTCCGACACTCGGTTACGTGATGCCGGCTACAAATGTGCTTAAGGATCGAGAGTGGTAAACTTTTGCATCCTTGAACCCCACACCTCTTGTCTAACAAAAAAGACCTTTCGTCATTTAGACCATGCTTATGGATGAAGTCGAGTAGCGCTTCCTAGCCAAAACCTACTAAGCATTTACGGCTTGTATCTCGATGGTCGGATCTTAGTAAAAAACTTCTACTTGAAAAAAATTAATATTAATTCATGTTATGTTAAATTAATAATTTAAATGTAATATAAATAAATAAGTAATATGTTATCTTAAACTCATTATAGTAGAATTGTTTCGTACGTTTCGAAATGGACTTCCACACTAAGCCACGGACGTCTAATTGTTTCTTGAAAATGATAGTTATCCTTTTAGAGTAACCTCTTTAACACGATAGGAAACTATCGAACATCACAAAAAAAGACATGTAATAATGATTAAAATGGTCTATTAAAATAAAAAAATAATTATAAGGTTTGAAGTGAATTATTAATCGATAATTAACGATTGAAATCGACTCGTTGAATATTGAAGCCTCGAGAGCTCCCCGGATCGGTATATATATAAGTGGATAAAGGATCTCTCATAGGAGGCTAGGGAAGCTCGATGGTTGTGAGAGTCGAAAGAGCGATCATAGATGGAGATGCCAAAGTTGATGTAGAATTGCCGGCTCTAAAAGAGAAATAAGACGAATGTCTCATGTTATAGGACCCACATAAAGAGCTCGAAGAGGGAGATCCATAGCCCATGTTGAATGGGGAACCATGTTCGTTATTGTCGGGCGAGGATGCATGTCCATGACTACCGGATCATGATCCCTAAAAGGGTATGGGATGTCAATGCGAACAACACGTTATAGCTTAATAATATCACTTAAGATAATTAAAAAAAATACAATAAATATATTATCAATTATGAGCATAAGAAAAAACAAAATTTTGAAAGTGTCCCCTAAAAATTAGATATTTTCTAATTACCTCATACATGCTTAAAAATAACATAGCTAAAATACACAACCAACATTTTGAAAATATATTAAAGCCAATATGATATACTCTAACAAATAAAACAATAAAAAAATACATCATTTTTTACTAATATAACTAATAAAATTAATATTTAACTATAACTATCGTAATAATTTGTTTAAGTTTTCATCTCCCTCATTTGACATAAATTCATATTCGTTATCATCTTCTTCATAAG